CAAAATGGGTTCATGATTTAAACATAAAGGCTGATACTATAAGCAAAATGGGAGAGCAAGGAATAGTGTACCTGTCAGATCTATGGAGAACAGAAGAATTCATGACCAAACAGGAGATAGAGAACATTACAAAAAGCAAAATAGATAATTTTGATTACATTAAATTGAAAAGTTTTTGCACAAACAAAGCCAATGCAACTAAGATTAGAAGGAAGGTAGAAAATTGGAAAAGAATTTTTACAACCAGTCTCTCTGATAAGGGCCTCATTTCTAAAATATATAGAGAATTAAGTCAAATTTATAAAAATACAAGCCATTCCCCAATTGATAAATGGTCAAAGAATATGAATAGACAGTTCTCAGATGAAGAAATTAAAGCCATCTATAATCATATGAAAAAATGCTCTAAATCACTATTGATTAGAGAAATGCAAATCAAAACAACTCTGAGATACCACATCACACCTATCAGAATGGCCAACATGACAAAACAGGAAAATGATAAATGTTGGAGAAGATGTGGGAAAATTGGAACACTAATGCATTGTTGGTGGAGTTGTGAAATGATCCAACCATTTTGGAGAGCAGTTTGGAACTATGACCAAAGGGTTATAAAAATGTGCATACCCTTTGATCTAGCAATAGCACTTCTAGGGCTATATCCCAAAGAGATCACACAAACGGGAAAAGAACCTACATGTACAAAAATATTCATAGCAGCTCTTTTTGTGGTGGCAAAGAATTGGAAATTGAGAGGATGCCCATCAATTGGGGAATGGCTGAACAAGTTGTGGTATATGAATATGATGGAATACTATTGTGCTGTAAGAAATGATGAGCAGACTGACTTCAGAAGAACCTGGAAAGACTAGTATGGTCTGATGCTGAGTGAAGTGAGCAGAACCAAGAGACCATTGTACACAATAACAGCCACTTTGTGTGATGACTAATATTGATAAACTTAACCCTTCCCGGCAATACAAGGATCTAAGACATCTCCAGAGGCCTTGTGATGGAAAATGCTATCCACATCCAAAGAAAGAACTATGGAAGTCGAATTGCTTTTTTTTTCCTCTTCTGTTGAGTTTTGTTTCCTCTTTCTGATGATTCCTCCTATTGGTTTTAATTTTTACTTACAACATCACTAATGTGAAAATATGTTGAATATGAACATAAATGTATAGCCTATATCAGATTGTGCGCCATCTTGGGGAGGGTGGTGGGGAGGAAGGGGGAGAAAAATTTTAAACTCAAAAGCATATGGAAATGATTATTGATAAATCAAAATAAATTAATAAAAAAAGAGTGTTTGGATTCAGAGGGCCACACTTGAGGACCTAGAGGGCCATATGTGGCCTCCAGGCCACAGGTTCCCCACCCTTGGTCTAAGAAATGGAGGTGAAGAAGGATGGCAGACAGCTTATGCAAAGATGCACAGACAGGAGGAGGTTCAGAGAACAGCAACTATGCCAGTCTGACTGGACCTCCGAGCATCTGAAATGCAGTAATGTGAAATAAGTCTGGAAACATAGGCTGGAACCTGGCTGAGAACGGCTGAAATACCAGGCTGAGGAGTTTGTAGTTTGTGGTTGAGGCTGAAGAGCCACTGAATGATTTTCAAGTGAGATCGCTGCGAGTTAGAAGATTACTTTGGCAGCCCCAAGGAGGATAGTTTGGAGAGGTCAGATGCTAGAAACAACAGAGCTGATTAGGAAGTTATTGGAATAGTCCAGGAAAAGGGATGAGGGCATGAGCCAAAGGGTGGCCAGGTAAGTGGAGAGAAGGGAAGGAATGATGGGAAGGAGGGAGGGAATTTGAGACATGATGGTGGAATTGATTATTCTTGTCCACAGATTAGATATGGAGAGAAGAGTCGAGGATGATTCTGCAGTTGTGAAACTGGCTCATTGGAAGATGCATCATCTTTTCTAGACCTATTTTTCTTCCGGAAGAGGGAACTAAAAGTAATTGATAATCAAGAAGCATTTATTATTAGAATGGAATAAACAAATTATTTATTTAGCACTTTATGCCAAGTAGAAGGGTAAAAACTTGTAACTTCAATATATATGTAGTAAGCAACAGAGTGAAAATTGAACTCAGGCTCTCCGACCCCAAATTGAGGTGTTTGGTTTTTTTTTTTTGTTTTTTTTGTTTTTTTTTTTAGGTAATTGGGGTTAAGTGACTTGCTCAGGGTCACACAGCTAGTAAATGTCAAGTGTTTGGTCTGAGGCCAGATTTAAACTTGGGTCCTCCTGACTTCAAGGCCGGTGCTCAATCCACTGCGCCACCTAGCTGCCCCTGAGTTTGTTTTTTTTAATTGATAAGTGATTTTTATTGATAAATTTTGTTTGAATCCATCATAGAAACATCCAGGCATGGTCTCAGTTGAATTCCCCTCAATGTACAATCCCCACCTTGTCACTAAATAATTAAAACAACATAAAAGAGTGCTTGTAACAGAGTTAATGCAAGCTTATATTTCAGTACTTTGCCATTCTTTAAAACAAAGGATGGTGTATGTTTTGTAAATTAGTACTAACACTGTCCAACATTTTGTTGCCATTTCAAGTTGTAGTAATTATGCATATTATTCTTTTGTATATTTCTGTTTTCACTCTGCCTCATCTTATTTTGAAAAAAGTTTTTAAATTTTATTTTGCTTTCAAACAAAATCAGCCTTCTCTCCGTCTTGCCTCCCCTCCACTACTGAAAAAACAAGAAAAATAAAACCCTTGTTTTATTTTGTATAGTGAAACAAAAATTCCTTCATTAGCCATGTCCAACCCTCCCCACCCAAATAGGCCTCAATCTGCACTGGAATCTATGACCTCTTTATACAGGTCTTTCCATCTTTCTTTCATATTCATTATCCTTTATGCAGTGGTAATATTCAGTCACATTAATCTATTATAGTTTTTTTTCAGCCATTCTCCAATGGCCTATTTCTTGTTTGTGGTTATTACAAATAGAACTGCTGTGAATATTTTCATATAGAGTTTTTTTCCTTTTTGTCAAATAATCTCACTGAGTTATAAACCAAACTTGAGATCAAAAGGTATAAAAAAATGTTGAAACTTTTCTCAGCATAATTTCAAACTGTTTCTCCAAATGGGTCTCAACCCATTCATAGCTCTACCAACACTAAATAATTATGCCTCTTTTTCCATATCATGGATTTTTTCATCTTTTACTATGTTTGCCAATTTGATGGGTGTGGGGAATAGTTCCTAATCCTAGAGATATTTTTGCCAATGCCTTTCAAATTTTGTATCTGACTTTTTAATCAGATACGTTTTCACAAATATTTTTCACCATTCTCTAGCTTTTCTTCTTATTCTCAGTCTATAGCATTTATTTAATTTGTGAAAAGGCTTTAAATTTTTTTTTGAATAAATGAAAAAAGTATTTATTAACTTCATTGTAGAATAGTGGATAGAGAGCTAGAGTAGATACCAGGCAGACCTGGGTTCACGACCCATCTCTGGCACATACTGGCTGTGTGATCCTGGGTAAGTCACTACCTTAGTCAACCTCTTAGCACTCTAGTACTCTCTAAGGCTATGAATTGCAGCAAAGGTGCTGAACTTCATTGGCAGAAAGAGCTTCTCACTGGGGAGTTCACTATACTAATGATGTCACAGATACAGTCCCTATCTCCTGTATGCTAAGCACTGGGGAGTATGAAAGTAAACATAGTCCCTGCCATCCAGGAGCTAATGTTCTATTTATTTATTTGTTTGTTTGTTTATTTTTTGTTTTCAACATTCACTGTTATAGGATTTTGAGTTCTAAATTTTCCTTCCTCTCTCTCTAGGACAGAATATAATTTGATATAGGATATACGCATTCAATCATATTAAACATATTTCCACATTAGTCATGTTGTAAAGAAGAATTAGAACCAAAGGGAAAAACCATGAGAAAGAAAAAACAAACAAAAAAAGAGAGCAAATAGTATGTTTGGATCTGCGTTCAGACTCCATAGTTCTTTCTCTGGATGTGGATAGCATTTTCCATCATGAGTCTTTTGGAATTGGCTTAGATCACTGCATTGCTGAGAAGAGCTCTGTCTATCAAAGTTAGTCATCACACAGTGTTGCTGTTACTGTGTACACTGTTCTCCTGGTTCTGCTCACTTCACTCAGCATCAGTTAGAGCTTACGTTCTAATGGCAGAAGCAGCATGTACAGAGGAAGGGTGACCACAGGGTTGCTATTTTAGTCTGGAAAAGTAACTGAAATAGTAATGCAGCCCAGGGCAATAGACTGACATACCCTTTCCAGTAGCAATGGGAAGCTAGGTGGCACGGTGGATAGACTGCTGGTTCTGGAGTCAGTAGGACCTGAGTTCAAATCCATCCTGACACTTACTAGCTGTGTGACCCTGAGAAAGTCACTTAACTCTGTTTGCCTCAGTTTCCTCATTTGTAAAATAAGTTGGAGAAAGAAATGGCAAAACACTCCAGTGTCTTTGCCAAGAAAACTCTAAATGGGGCCACAGAGAGTCAGATATGACTGAAACAACTCAACAACAACAATAACATCCAGTAGCCATGGCAGATTTGATTTAATTCTGGGACTAAGGAGGGGTGGGGTACAGAAGTAACAAGGAGATGGTGGGAGAGTAAAGTATAGCATGGCCAGAGCCAGCTTGACATGGTTGGGCACACATGAAGCTGAAAAGATTAAGTTCTTTAGGGCATAGGTTCTGGAACAAAGTGTGTGTGTCTGTGTGTGTGTAAAAGCAAACATTTCATGTCATCTAAGTAGTCTATTTTACCATGCGTGATATTCTCTGTGTCCCAGAGGGTTAAAAATTCATCCCCTCACCATAGTTGTGAGTGATAGTATCTTTCTACCCTCCTTTCACCTTTAAATGGTGTAACTGTTTATGTTCCAGCATTCTTTCTACTCTACCCACAGCTGTCCTTGGCCCAGGTCTCGGAAAACTGAGAGAGGGGATTTGTCTCCAGCCAAACCACACCTAGAACAGTCCCCTGCCTCTGAGGCTCTGACCTCACATGAGAGGTCAGGAGGAAGATATCCTGAGACTCCTCCTGGGGAATTTACACCTCCAGCCCCAGGTAGATCTTCCTGGTAGCAGGGAGGAGACAGTCAAATTGGAAGCTGCCTGGCAGCCTGCCAGGAGGTGTACTTCTGGATCTAGCCACACCCTCTCCCTCCATCCATTTAAGAAGGGGATGAGGGCATAGGGAATCACATAGAACAGGATGACTGGTACCCGGCAGGCAGAGTCAGTTCGAGGGGTGGGATTTATGCTGGGCAGGCGTCCTCAGGTAATGCTCAGCTAGTTTGCTGATACCTATCCCTGTCATACCAGTTTTCGTTTCCCTTAGATCTGTTTATTCTCCAGTTTTTCTATTTCTTCTCTACTCCCCCAACCAGGGCTCCCCATTTTTCTGCTTTTCAGTATCCTGGTCTCCCTTTATTCCTGTCTCCCCTGTCTCTTCATCTCCACATCTGTCTCCCTTCTCTGACTCCCACTTCTCTGATCCATTCTCATGTTTATCCTTTTTCTCATTCCTGGGACTCTCCCTTCCACTTTCTCCCCAAGCCTGGCTCTTCGCATCTCCCCAGGTGTATCTCCCCCTTCTCCCATCTTCCACTCTCTTTGCCTTCCGTCTCTCTTTGCTGCTCCCATCTCTGTTTCACCAGTTGAACTGACTCTTTTCTCATCATCTTTGGCACCTTGTCTCCCACAGTCCCTTCGACTCCTCTGTGACCTGTATCTCTTTTTCTTCCCCCATTTATGCCCCCCAAGTCTCTGTCTCCTCCTTTTCTCTATCATGGCTTCTCTCTCCTCTCCAGGTTTGGGCTAGGGATAGAATGTTTGGGTATGTGGTAGAAAAAGAGGCTATTTGGGGGGGGCATGAAATTGGGTAGGGGTCACCCTCTGTACTCAGTCCTGTTATAGGGCAGGAGGGGTGTTTCTTGAGCTAGATAAAGGAAAATTGGGCCGGGGTAATGCCAGAATCTACTGAATCCCTCCCCTTCACCCTCCTGGCCCCAGCTGTTCATCTTCTCGGTGCTTTGGTCCGACGGCAATGACAGCCTCATCTACAGGACCTTCCAGGAGTTCCGCCAATTCCACGTGAGACACCATCCCAGTCACAACCCAATGGGACCCTTAAGAATCAACCCCCTCACCCTGTCTGATCCTGGGATATATAGTCAGGCTACATTCTGGGGGCTACCGTATGACTCCCTTGAACCTAGGGGCTCCCTCCCTCCCAGACCATATGTTACTCCTTCATCACCTAACTCCCTTATTTAAAGCCACACCATGACCCTGAATCTATCTTCACAGAAAACGCTGAAGGACACTTTTCCCTTGGAGGCAGGTTTGCTGAAGAGTTCAGACTGTGTCCTCCCCAAGTTTCAAGGTTAGGGGACTGGTGATAGGGAGGGGGTAGGTGGGTGGGGGAACTCTGGGGCCAAGCAGACCTCTAGGCACTGGGTCAGCCTGAGAAAGGGTCCTGGAACCTCAGGGTGTGGGATCCCAGGGATAAGGGAGCATGGGAAGGAAGAAGGGAGTCTGGGGCTCAGGGCTGAGGGGAGTGGGGGCCTTGGGGTTTCATAGGGATCCCTGCTCTTCCTGTAGATGCCTTAGTACTTCTCCCCAGTGGAAGGACACGGAAAGGACTGGCCAGGTTACGGCTGTTGGAAGCCTATTCTCAGCAACTTCTGAGGGTCACAGAGACAGTGTCTCAAAGTGAGGTGGTCACTGGCTTTTTCCAGCCCCAGCCTGGGGACCTGGAGCCTGTCCTGCCCCAGAACAGGTATTTGTGAGTCCCCATATGCTCAGTTTTCCTAATCAGATCAACCTTTCATGCCCACCCTGTGAAGGTTTGGAGGTCTGGGAGCTCACAATCTGACTGGGAGAAACAGACTCATGCAGAGAGGTCGCAGAAAAGGGGATTAGCTGGGGAAGCTGAGAGAAGGGAGAGAAAGATCTGCATGGGCTGCATCGGGAAATGTTTCTTGGAAGAGATGGGATTTAAAAGAAAGGCCTCAGAATTTGTTTCCAATTCTGAGTCTCAGTGTAGGAATTCCCTCATAACTGTACAGCCTTTGCTTGACAAGGCTCCCAGTGACAGGACACTCACTACCTCCTGTTACATATCTAAGCAATCCTGTTAAGTTCTTCCTTATAGTTGGTGGGAATTGATCTCCTAGTAAGGAGTCTCCCACCCTTACACCTTGGCCCAATCAAACTGTGCTATATGGGGCCAAGCAGAACAAGTCTAGCATGGTGGCAGTGTGGTATAGTGGATAGAGAGCTAGCTTTGAAACCTGGAAGGCCTGGGTTCAAGCCCTGCCTCTGACACATACTGGGTAAGGCTCTCTGACACTGTAAGTTGCTGACTTCTATTAGTATCAGGAGTTCCCCTTTATGTCAATGAAATCACAAGTCCTTGACTTGTTCCCTACCCTATTCCACTGAACAACTCTTCTAGTATTTGCACCAGTCTGGGGAGTGGTAAGAGGGAGGAAGTCGAGAATAAGTGGAAGGTGGACTTGGGCTAATTTCTGAGGAATGGGTAGGGCCAGGCTAAGGGAAATGACAGGTGTAGCAGGAAGGCAATCCAGATAGGAAACACAGTCTGAGCAAAGGTCTGGATGTGGAAATGAATCTGACGTCCTTGAGGATGGTGAGGAATGAAAAAGAGATGATGCTAGGTGGGAAGCCCAAATGCCAGGCTAAGTAGAACAGAGGGAGGAGCTGAGATGGGGAGGAAGTTCCACATGGAGATAGCTTGGGGGTAGGCAGAAAATCTGGTACTGGGTCTAGAAAAGTCCCAACTCCAGAGGGTTAAAGCTAACCCATCTCATCTGTGTCTTACCCTGGTTATCTTGGATCTTTCCTCAAAGCCTGGTGATCATGCCCTCCCCTTGGGAGAGGCCAGAACAGAGTCCAAAGAAGCCCCCGGCCCTAGAGCCAGACATCTACAACCTGGAGGCCCAGACTTTCCGGTGCCTTGATAACTTCAGCACTCAGGACACCAGGGGCAGGCTCTTTAAGGCTGGAGCTGGAGAAGAGTTAGATGTGTTGCTTAAAGAACCCACAGGTAGGAGGGCTTGGGGGACTGGGGTAGGGGGAAGGACATAAAGAAGATGTAAGGATGGATGCCTCACCCCGGATCCTGTGGGGTGGGGAGGAGGAGACTTTATGTTGGTGGAGATCCTCAAGAGATGGGGGTCTTAGCCCCAGGAAACAGGGACACAGGGATAGGATTTTTAGGCTTTTTTTGGGGGGGGGGGGGAGAGGATGGGAACCCTGGGGAAATGGAAGTATTAGCTTGGGGGGATAGGGGCATTCATAGGAAATATATTTTTATCCCTAGGGGACCCCAGGGGCATGAATCTGAGCCTTGGGGAAGGAATGGGAACCCTTAGATGGGGACACAAGGGGGAAGGACAGGTTCTTTAATCTGACAGTGGAGCAAGATCCTCCAAATGTTGGGAATTCGTATGATAGGGAGGGTATGTCCACATGTGCCCATCGATACATGTCAGTACCAATAAGCAACTATCTTTGTATTTCCTTCCTACCCCATGTAAGTAAAACCTATTCCCTCTAACTTGCTGAGTTTTAGGGGTGGGGTTCTCTACATCCCTGTACAATGTCCCTTCCTCACTCTCCAGGCTGGTGGCTGGTGGAGAATGAGGACAGGCAGATAGCTTGGTTTCCTGCACCCTACCTCGAGGAGGTATCTCCAAGAGAGGGATGTGAGGAGATGCCTCAGACACCCTGCAGTGGTAAGTGCCCAGCATGCTTAGTCCGGACCTGGCATTTCTGTGATTCAACAAAGGGAATGGGGAGAGAACACGCTGCTATGAGTGTCAACCTTGTGCTGGAATCTGTGCTCAGCTATTTACTAGCTGTAGACACTTCCCTAGTATTTGTTTCCCCATTTGTAAAACAGATGGTTTTTAGGGCTCTTCCCAGCTCTGAACCCTATGACCCTGTATCCCTAGCTTGTTCTGGGGGAAGAGGAGACATACTCCTGGTCAGTGACTTACAGAAATCTCCCAATATTCATGGGGAATCCTGTGACCCAAGGCTACCCCAGAAAGAAATAGCACCCTTGATCAAGCACGCAGGTGGGGGATGACGGGCATGGCCCCTTTGCACCCCATCCAGGGCTGCCGTTCTGTACCACCGGAGCTTACGTAAGCAGCCGGGAAGACGAGCTGTCTGTGCCTGCGGGGGCCCGTGTCACTGTGCTACAGGAGTCTGAGTGCGGCTGGTGGCAGTGCAGGTGTGTACGGGTGCAGACTGGACTCATACGGGCGTGGGAAAGAGAACAGGAAGTGTCGCTCCACCCTCCCCAAACCCGTGTGTACACGTGCATAAAGAGCCCCCTACTCCCGCAGGTACCTTGGCCGCCTGGGGCTGCTACCTGCAGTGCTGCTCTGCCCGGACCCCGTGAACGCTAGTGGGCTGGGCATGCTCCTGAACGCGACCCGGGCCAACCTAGACCCAGAACCCTCCAGCGGAACTGAAGCCGAACCTGAGGAGGGGCGCCTCCACCCGCACCCCCAGCCTGCTCCGCCCACCAACCTAAACTCAAGCTCAGACTCGGGCTCGGGCAGTGACAACGGGGAGAGCAGCGCGATGGCGGCCCCTGGCTCTGGACCTGTCGTGCCCGCTCGGCCCAGGCGAGGGGACATCCTGCGGAGCTGCTGCTCAGTGACCCGCAAGGCCCTTTTTCGTCCAGTGACACGGAGGTCTCCCGTGCCCACACTGGATTCTGGGCTAGAGATCCCTGCACCAGCCCTACCCTCGGCCAAGCCATGCCTAGCCAGCCCTGCTTCTTATTCCTCCAAACTGCCTGGCCTAGACTCCCAGATAAATTCTTTGGATGCCAGGCTGTGAAGTCCTGCCCTCTCCCGTGCCCTGACCTCTGGCTTTGTGTTAGAAGGCCTCGTCCCTGTGGGACTAAGTACTCAATGGTTTTGTTTAAAAAAATTTTTTTTGTACGTGTGAATAAAGGATCCTTTCCAAGAGCTGCCTGATTTCTCCCTTCCTCACCTCCAAAGCAAAGGCTTGTGGCACCAACCTTGTGTTTCTGCCCCATGTGTAACCTTAGATCCACTTGCTTCCTCCATAAAAAAGACCCAAGTTCAAATTCTACTCTGCCACTTTCTGCCCTTATAACCTCAATCAAGTCATCTGTCTCCCTGGGCCTGAGTTCTCTCAGACAATGAGAGGCCTGTGTTAAATGGTTTCTTACGGCCATGATCTATGCCTCCCCTGAGCTCCTGGAACACTCAGGCAGGTTTCCCAGTCTGGTTTGATGTCCTGTAAAACACCCAGAGTATGCACTCCCTGAGGGAAGGGTCTGGATCACAGATTTAGAGCAGAAAGTCATCTAGTCTAACTTCCTTATTTGTTTTTTAAAAAAAAAAAAGGAACAGAGAAGTTAACTCATTTAAGGTTACATAGGAAATACTCTCTGACTCCAAATACAATGACCTATCCACTGTCACACTTTCCCTTCTCCCCTGCTGTGAACTCACTTGGGGCAGAGCCCAGGTCTGCTCCTTTATCTCCCTCCCAAAGCATGGCTTGAGTCCAGAGTGAGACTCAGGAAATGAAAATAAACAGGCAGACACACATTCCTCTTCCACCACACCATACCACACCACCCACTGGGCTCAGGGAGCTCTGTCCCCGAGTCTGGCCCATGTTTCAGGGGCATCTGGGACATGAATCCTATGGATGTACTTGGGAAGGTGCTTGAAAGCTGACCCCTTTGATCAGGCAAGGGAGGGTCAAGTCCCAGATAAGGGAAATGCTTGTGAGGTCTGACAAACTTTTATACAACATGTTGTTACAAAGGTTGTAGGGCTGGGGAGGCTGAGGTCTCAGGTAGCTTCATAGTCTGCCACAGAAAGTCCAAGAACATGGCAGCCTGCAGCGTCCGGCTGATCCTCTGGAAGTGTCGCTCTGAGGAGAGAGGAAGGCAGGTGAAGGAAGAGACGAGGACAGATTCTGCCCCCACGTCAGCTGCCACCAGGCTCCAGACTGAGCACCTCCCTCTCCACAGAGGCCATTCTCTAGTACAGGGTCCAGTGGTCACTCACCGGTGTAGGGCAGCAGTGCCTCTAAGGCAGCCCGGACTCCCTCATAGGCCAGCAGCTCTTCGGGGCTCTCATGCCGTAGGAGGACGCCTAGCACAGCTTGGGCTTCGTGGCAATGGCGGGAATTTGTGTTCCATGTGACTGAGAATCTCAACAGGGCCTCTGGGAACAGGCCAGGGAAGAGGTCAGGGTCCAGCTCAGCCTCCCTCCCTCCACACCCTCCCAAAGGCACTGCTGGGCCTGGGCCTGGTGGGCACTGACCTTTCTGGTCCTTCCGGAGCCTTAGCACCTTTTCCTCTAGCTTCTTAGGACCCTCGACATCCTTCAAGATGGCTACGTGGGGCAGGGAGGGTAAGTACAGCAAAAGAGGAGAACGCCAGGCATTTACACGCACTTCGATCTCAGTCACTCCCCAAGCAACCCCATCCCTTCCCTTCTGCTACTTCTGGCCCTTCGAAGTCACTGACCTTTGACAACTGTCAACACAGTGTGCGGCCTATCCAGAGAGATGGCCAGACCCAGGGCCCGAAGGTACTGCTTCTCCTGGAGCAGGTTAGAGAGTTCCTGCTGCCTGGGGGGAGGTGGAAAGTCAGTGGGGGAGGCTGGGTGAGGGGCAAGGCACGGGGGATGAAGCAGGTGTCATCCCTGGGACTTACTTCAGGATTTGTTCCTCCTGCTGGGCCTGCTCTTCTGCCTGCTCTTCCTCAGTCACATCCTGGAAACAGAGTCACTCAGCCCAGGGTAGGAGAGGCCAAGAAGAACTCTCCCCCACCGCCGGGAGTCCGGGCCTACCCACCTTCCAGAGGAGGATCCGAGCATCGCTGGCTCCAGTCACAGCTGCTCCGTCCTGCCGGTTGCAGTGCAGCCCCCACACCTTGTCCTCGTGCCCATCCAGCGTCCGCACACACTCGTTGGTTTTGATGGTCCAGAGTTTGAGCAGGCCGTCTGAGCCGCTGCAATGACCAAGAAGGAAGCAGCATCAGAGTCCCAGGTCAGACCTCCCAGACCACGACCCCTGCCCCGGTCCCCAGCCCCAACTGACCTGGACAGCAACTGTGTCCCCCGGCTCACAAAGGTCACTCTCAGCACCGATGCATCATGACCCTCAAACGTCTGGGGATGAGGAAAAGGGAGTGAGACATAGGGCAGAGTGAGGGCAGAGGCTCAGCCTTACTCACTCTGGATGCCTGAGGGGCTGCTATAAGGAGCATTACCTTCAGGCAACTGAAGTCCTGTAGACCCCAAAGCTTCAGGGAGCCATCGGCTGAGGCTGTGGCCAGCACCTGGTCCATGGGGGAGAACTGAACACACCATATACCTCGCCGGTGGCCAGAGAAGATACCCAGCAGGGAGAAGTCAGGCAGGGACCACAGCTTGGCTGTTCGGTCCTGGGAACCCGATGCTAACAGCTTGTCGTTTGGAGATATAGCCACACTGTTAATGTCCTACAGAGGGGAAAAGGGAAGCTGTGATTGGGGTGAGGGCAGTGACTGTGGCTCCTCCCAATCTCCAGAGGACAGTCTCCTGTCCTGGTGTTACCTTGTCATGTGCACGTTGAGTGGCCTGAGCCTGGAGGGGAACAGGGTCACAGTTGGGGTCTCGGGTCACTTTCTTGGACATCACTGCCTCAGGAAGGGGCCACAGCTTTATTGTACAGTCCTGGCTCCCAGTAACCAGGAAGGCCTCCTTCAGCCTGACACCAGATGAAACAGATGCAGAATTCATCACGTCTGTAGCCCACTCTCCACTTCCAGAGCCTTGACCCTAACTCAGGTCACATATTCTCACCCCAGAACTACTGCAACAGGCTCCTAAGTCACGCCCCTGCCTTTAGTCTGCCTTATACTGCTCTGATGGGAATGGTTCCCTATTCCCCAAACCTGAATGGTTCTTTAAAGGATAATAATAGTTAGCCTTTACATAGTGCTTTAAGATTTATAAAGTATTTTACAAATATCTCATTTTAGCCTCTGACAACCCTGGCACATAGGTGCTATTGTTATCCCTATTTTACAGATGAGGGCACTGAGGTAGGATAGAGGTTAAATGACTCCATCAAGATCACAAAGCTAGTAAATGTCTGAGGCAGGATTTGAATTCAGATCTTCCTGAGTCCCGGCCTGGCTATCTACTGCTTAGTCAACCCATCTCTTTTCATTTGAAGCCCCTGCTTCAAATTCCTGCATTCTAGCCAAGTTGGACAACTCACTATTTCTGAATGTAGTTTTGCATTTTCCTGGCTCCATACCTTTGTTTGAATAGTTTCTTCTTTCCTAAGATGCTAAACTCCTTCATCTCCTCCCTCTTCATTTATCTGTCTTTCCAAACCCAGCACCCGCTCCTTCTATCCTCCCTCCCTCCGGGAAGTCTTCCCTGACTGCACCAGGCCACAACAGCTTTACTCTAGAGTCCAAGTCACACATTCTCAGATCTTGTGCACAGACTGTCTTGCCCCGTTTTCTCATTCTCCCAGGTCTAAGTTCTGTCTCCCTAAAGGCAGTGAGCTCCTGGAGGGCAGGGGCAGTGTCTGCTTGCTGCTTCTGTCTGCTCAAACCATGAGCTTCTAAAGGAAAGGCTCTGGGAGAGCCTCTTTTCAGACTGGGAACTCCTTGAACATGGGGAGGGAGAGGAGGCAGGGGCAGCTCACAGTCAGGATGAGCTAGAGCTGATGTAAGTGGGTCCTGGGGCTCGAGTGCAGTACCTGGAGCAGCTGATGGTGCCTATGCCATGCGTGTGGCCAGAGCCATGGGCTACGCAATGCACTTTCCCAGACACATTCATTCTCCATATGCGCACACTCTGGTCCTGGGACATGGGAAGTGGAAGAAGTGAAGAGCGGTTAACATGGAAAGACGGGGTCTACCCCCTTCCCCCCCATCTCCCTGTCTCCACAGGGGAGTCCTCACCTTGGCGCAGCTGGCAAAGAGCTGACCCTTCCGGAAAACATCCAAAGCCATGATTATGTCTGTGGGGAGGAAAGGAACTGAAAATCACGGTTTAAACTCAAATGGGACCTGAGGAATTGGCTCAACCCCTTCACTTTACACATAAGGAAAATGAGGCCAACAAAGGGGAAATGACTTGCCCAAGGGTTGCAAGGCAGTGAGCAGAAGAGCTGGGATTTGAATTCGGGTCAGATTTGGTGTTCTTTTCAGCAGTAAGAGGCTGCCAGGGGGTATCCCCAAACTTGAATGAGGCATCCCTACCACTGTTTAGTCAGGGAAGTTTCAAGGTCTGGAGAAACCTCTGGAGTCCTGGGTCAGGGATTATAATCCAGAAGAAATGAGAGGGCCAAGGGTGACTCAAGAACTGGAAGGGGTAGGGGGAGTGTCAAGGCTTACCCGTGTGCCCACACAGGATCTGGCAATCCGATGTTTCCAGCTCAAACACCTTCAGTCGGGGGCTATTGGTGGCAACAACAATGTGGGAATCTTCAGGACCCAGGAACCTCACGTCCAACACATCCTCATTGTAGCCAGCAAACTGGGTAGGAAGAGAAACAAATTAATGCAAGGAATACCACCCCCTATCCCTTACACACCTTTAGAATATAGAAACCGAGGGTGGTGGCCATGAGGGTCAGAGAGCACCAACCTGTTTGTGAAGGCGAAGGGTGTGGGCCTCATAAAGGAGGATGTTGTGCTCAGCTGTGACAGCCAAGATCAGCCCGGCAGCTGGGACCAGGGCACAGTGTGTGATCTCCCGCCCAGGGCCACCTTCACCAAGCATAGGTTTATGGGTAAGCATGCAGTTCCCAGATTCAACCTCCCATACCCGAAGCACTCCTAGACCAGACACACACAAAAGAGGTTATTTCAGACACAAGGAGAAACAGATCAGAGAGGGAGAACTGGAAACAGCTGGAGCGTGTTGGGGATGAAACTCAGGTACCACCAATCCTGGGACATGGGCTGGAGCTTCTCCCCGCTCCACCAGAATCCCCCCCCCACTCGCCTCGATCTCCAGCTGTGAGTAAATGCAGCCCCAGGGTGTTCACACCCAGGGCAGGCGCCTCCCCTTTTGGAAGCAGCACCACAGACTCCACGCTCTAGGAGAAAGAGGATCAGGAGGGTCAGTCAGTCAGTAACTCTGGGCCTGATCCCAGGTCTCTCTCCCCTCCTACTACCCCAGACCCACCTCAAAAACAGGGACTGTCTTCACTGATGTCCGAGTCTTCAAGTCCCACACAGTACAGATCTTGTCCCGGCCAGAGCTACCAGGAGAACATTTGAGGCCAGTCAGCACCCATCCCATCTCCTTGGGTCCAGAAAAAGGGACCTCCTCTTCCCAAACCCAGGATCCAAATATAAGGCTCCTCCCGAGCCACTGACCTGACCATGGTGTGGCCATCATCGCTGAAGGCCAGTGAAGTGACTGGGCTGTAGTGACTGCTTAGCATGGCCAGGCAGGTTCCAGCCTGAAGGCCCCAGACACGAATTGTGCAGTCCATGGCAGAAGAGAAGAGCAGGAGCTGGTCAGGGTCTGGATGGAAGGTCACAAGGCTGGGGATGATCAGACAGGGGTCACCTAACTCGGGCTCCTTCCAGATCCTGGGGTCCCAGACCCAATCCCCCCCAACTCCCAACTCTAATGACCCCATCTGTAAAACGGGGTGAACCCAGGACTTACTGGACAACTCCAGGGGAGCCACGTAGGTGGTGGGTCCCGTATCTTCGTTCCAGGTCCCAGACACGCACCGCTCCATCACAGCCACCTAGAGAAAGAGAGAGCGAGAGCGCAACATGGGGTTGGGGGACAAAATGAGAAGCAATATACAGGATGGCAACTCAGTCCCTCTCCCCAAACTTCCTGGGGGTACATCTTGTTTTGTTGCCATTCACGCCTCACCAAACCCTGACTCTGGATGACTTCCATCATCCCCCTCCTCTATTCTTACTCACTCAGGTGAACAGACCTATGGAATCACACAACTGCCTGGACAAGGTCCAGTACAAATTTGTCATCGAATCTCAACTGGGACCTCATTGTAGCAAGGTAATCCTTATCCTCCCTTCTAATTAACTGTCTGCACCACTCCCTACATTGGTTCTTCCAAACTTCTTCTCTCTAAGCCCCCTACACTCTCCTCCCTTAACCCAGATACCTGAGAATGTCAACTCATCTTTCTCTGTGACTTCCCTCTTTCTCCACATCTCACAACCTTTGATATCATCCCCCACTCCCTTCCAATGAAAAGGCAGACTCCCCCCCAACCCCCAGGCCAACCTCGTCTTTCTTGTTTGTTTGGTTTTTGCTAGGCAAAGGGGTTAAGTGACTTGCCCAGGATCACACAGCTAGTGTTAGGTGTCTGAGGCCAGATTTGAACTCAGGTCCCCCTAACTCCAGGGCTGGTGTTCTATCCACCGTGCCACCTCGCTGCCTCTTGTCTTCTAAATATACACCTTTGACCTCAACCCCTCCCATCTCCTTGCATAACACTTCTCTCTTTCAATCTCTTATCTACTGGCTCTTTCCTTGATGCCTACAAACATCCCAAAATCCTTCCTAACTTAAAAACTCTCACCAGACTCTACCATCCCCTCAAGCTATTATTCTATATCTCTTCCTTTTCCAGTCAAACTCTTGGAAAATGCTGCCTACACTCCCTCCCCTCTGAGGTATTTTTCATCCCTTTGAAATTTGGTTTCCAAGCTCATCACTCAAATAAAACTGCTTTCTCCGAAGTCACCAACAGTCTTCTGATTGCCAAATCTGAAAGCCTTTCCCTATTCCCCTCCTCAATCCTCACCTTTCTGACCTCTACAGCAAGACACTGATGACCCACTGATGACATATTCTCCCTTCTCTGGGCTTCATGAGACTCTTCCCTCTTGGTTCACCACCCACCCTGTTTGATGTTCCCTTCTTAGTCTCCTCTGTTGGCTTATTATCTATACCACCCCATGATGGCGAGTGTTCCCTAAGGCTCTAGCTTACGACCAACCTGGAATCTTTTTTTCTCTATAGCCTTTCTCTTAATGACCTCATTAGCTCACCTGGATGTATTTATCATTTCTCTGCTGAAGACTCTAAGATCTATATATCCAACTCTAATCTCTCTTCCGAGGCTGGTAACATATCAATCACCAATTGTCTATTAGATACTCAAACTGTCGTCCAGTGGATACCTTAAACTAAGTCCAAAAGAGAACTAATCATCTCTGTATCCCCCATTCTTCCCTCTTCTGAATGTTCCTATTTTGCCTAAGGATTCTACCATCTTTCTCTTCAGTGTACACCTCAAATCCTTATTCTCCTCCACTCAATATTACTAAAGCTTGTTGATTCTATCTCTGAAACTCATCCTCTTTTCTCTAACTTATGCAAGCCCCTAACCTAGTTCAGGGAATCATCACATTTCCGCTCAACAATTACAACAACCCTCAATAGGTCTTTCTGCATTCCCTCTCCCCACATCTATCCTCCACCTAGCTTCCAAAATTACCTTAAGTACAGATTTGATATTATACTTCTTCTCAATAATAACTCCTGTTGTTCCCCATTACTTTCAGGACCAAATATAAATACCTCCATTTGTCACTTTTTAGATGATCTTTCACAACCTGACCTCAACCTTCCACCTTTGCCTTACATTACTCTCCTTGGCAAACTCTAAGGATCAGTTAAACTAGATTTTTGGCTGTTCCTTGAACAGGACACTCTATCTCTTGTTTCTTTGCCTTTACACTGGCTACCTAGACCCCAAATGCATTTATCCCTACTTTCAAGGCTTCCATCTTCTACATGAAACCTTTCCTGATCTTTCCAGCTGCTAGTGTCTTCTCTCCAAAATTATCTTGTATCTATTCTTCGTATCTGTACGTACCGCCTTCCCTGGCCAGACTGTAAACTCTTCGAAAACAAGACTTTTGTCTTTGTATCCCCAGCACTCATTATAGGACCTAGCACACAGCAAATGTTTGATAAATATCTGTTGACTGATTACCTGTGGCCAGCAGAGTGGATGTTGGGTCAAAAGCCATGGAGGCCACAGGTGCTGTGTGTACAGCCTTCCAAACACGTGAGACATTGCCTTCACGCCACGCCCACTGAGTTAGTAATAATGCACGGCTTCCAGTAACTAAGATCTGGGAAAGAAAGGATAAGGTTAGGATCAGGGGTCTAGGAAACAATTCCCCTATCACCCTCTCCCCCACCACACACACCTCATTATTGGGGCTGAGATCAAAGGCTGTGATGTTTTCTTGGTCTTCCTGAGGAAAAGAGACAGGAAGATATGACACAAGTTGAAGGAAGATGTAGGAAAGAAAAGGAATGTACATTATAACAATAGCTAACATTTATACTGAGTGCCAGGTCTGTCAGAGTGCCAGAGTTGAAAAAACCTGAGTTCAAATCTTGCCTCAGATGCTTACTAGCTGTGTGACCCTAGGCAAGTGACCTAATCCTGTCTGCCTCAATTTTTTCATCTGTAAAATGAGCTGAAGAAGGAAATGGCAAACCACCCGCCAGTATCTTTAACCAAGACATACCCCCCCACACACAGGGGGGTAACCTGTAGGACACGACTGAAAAGACTGAACAACAAAAAAAATTGCACTTTCAGGTCTGAAAAGCACTTCACATGCTATCTATTTACACACAGCAACCCTGTGAAGTAGGTGCTGCTATCATCCCCATTTTACAGATGAGGACACGGAGGCTGAGAGTGGGGGCTGGAAGGACCCTAGCAGCATCTCCCCCAGCCCCCACCAGGATCTTCAACTGAACTCGCCCTCACCTGCTGTAAGGTCCTCACAAGGTTCCCGGAAGTGGCGTCCACAACATTCACTCCAGAGCCGCAGACGCAGAACAGGAGCTGTCCATCTCTGGAAGCCTGAAAAAGGCGGGGGAGGGGAGTGAGCAGGGAAGAGGTGACCCTCAGCCCCGTTCCCTTGGTCGCCAAAGCGCCCGCCTCCCACCTGTGCGGCCCCCACCGACCCCCGCCCCGGGGCTCATACTTGGACTTTGCCTCCTTTGTAGAAAGGCTCGATTCGCCGCTGCACCGCGTAGCTGCGGGGGGAGGAAAGGCCACGCTGGGGGACGGCAGGCCCGGGGGGCCCCGCCGCCCCCCCCCGACCTCGGCCCCTCGGACACCGTTCCCCGCCCCTCTCCCCGAGCCCCGTCCGCGAACCCTCCCGGCTTGGCCCTGATCAGCCCACGCCTCACTTGCTCTTGTAGCGCAAACCGCGAGCTCCAGTCCCGGCCGTCTCCGCCATCCCGGTTCCGGTCCCGACCCCAGCTGCGGCTGCCCAGCGACGGAACGCCTGCCCCGCCACGTGCGGCAGGGTAGCGGATAGCGGGGCTCCTGCTTTCCGGCGCGCCATGATGGCGTCACGGGTTACGTCACCGGAGGCGGGCCAGGTTGTTGCCCGGGGGAGGGGGGTGGCGGGAGGGACTGCTTTATAGAGACCCTGGTTCCCCCACACAGGGCAGGGGGAGGGAGGTGGTGTAGACGGAGTTGTGTGTGTATAACGGGTGGGAGGATCCTCAGAGCAGTATAGATGAAGCGATGGTGGTGGTGTAGTTTCCTGACAGTGGAGACGGGCTACGAACGCAGAAATCCCTCTGCCCACAACCTTCAGCTCTTCATTACGCCACTAGGTGAAGCTGGATTTGGACTCAGGAAGACCTGGGTGCGCATTCCACTTTAGACACTCGTTGCTTAGCACAGTGCCTGGTATAGAGTAGGCGCTTAATAAATGTTCAGCATTATTAAAATTAAATAAATAAATGTTCAGTGACTGGTTATCGACTGATTGTGTGGTCCTGGGCAAATCACTTAACCTCTCTGAGCTTTAGTTTCCTCATCTGCAAAACGAAGATAGTAACAGTAACTCACAGGGTTGTTTTGAGGCTGGAATAAGATAACTCCTGTGAAGTGCTCTGCAAACCTTAAAGGGCTATAGAAATGCTAGCTAGCCTCACCCGTTCTAGTCTCACTTGTTCATCTGTCAACCTTTCCCAGGTCTCCTAGTCTCCCTCTTGTGGCCTGCAATCACAGTCTTTGTATAAGACTTCAATGCCAGAGGTTATCTATGAGATTAACTTGTATGAACTTATTTCACAGTCAACTCTGAAGTCCAGGTCCCATCTGAGTAGGACCAGCGAGAGTCATTCTGTTTCTACTTCAAGACTGATTCCAGAGAACTCTTGATGAAACATGCTACCCACACCTGACAGGTGATGGATTCAGGGTGCAGACTGAAATTTTTATTTAATGGTCAATGCAAGGATTTCTTTTGCTTGACTGTGTATATTTGTTACTTAAATGACTTTTATATTAATAACCAGTTATTAAATTAAGATTAAGGTTTCCTCTTCCTATTCCCTCATTGAAAAAACCAACCCCCCCCCCCCTTAGGCTATTCAGCCAGTCTCTGAAGAACATTGCTGATATTTCCAAGATTTTCCAAATCCTTAGGATACATGCTTTTCAATCTTGGGTGGGACCCCACCCAAATAAAACACCTTACAAACAGAATCCAGTCTAGGAGAGCCCTTGCCCTTAAGAGACAAGCCCCTGTCCTTTAGAATTTAGGGTGATCCAGCCTATGAAGGGGAAAACCAGTCAGAGCGGTCTGAGTAGAGATGGATTTGTTTGTCCAGATTGTTGGAGGAGGCTAAGTCTCAAAATTAGGTCAAGTTCTCAGCAGGAGGAGCTGAAGACTTTTTGCCCATTTACTCATTAATATGTCCACCACTGATCGTTAACCAATCAGAGTTGATTTCCATGGGGAGGGTGGGGGGGTGGGACACTCCTTTTCCAAAGGCTTTTAAGCAATCAATGTTCTCCAAGGGGCGTCTTTGGTTTTGGAGAGGTCTGCTGACCTCAATTTATTATTCGCTATCTATAATTAATAAATTGATTATTAATTACCCAGAAATTATGTCTTTCAGACTTTTCATTCATCACATTACAAGTTTTGGGTTTTTTTTCTTTTTTTAGTAGGGGTAAGGGGAAGGAGACGTAGGAGCAGAGATAAAGTGTATACTTGCTAATTTTTCACAAATTTTTTTTAAAATTGAAATGATGGGAGAAACTACAATCTCCCAAGGTGGCCCATTCCATTGTTGGACAGAAGTTACTCCTTAAATAAACCAGATATGTCTTCTTAGAGCTTCCCATCACTGGTCCTAGTTCTGTATTTTGTGATCAAACAAATCTAATCCCTTTTCAATGATTGCTATGCAAATACCTGAAGAATGATCACTCACATCCACTCCCCCTGACTACTGAAGCCTACATCTCCACTGAGGGAGGAGCACTTCAAAGTTCCTTTATTGCAAGAGTTCTTAGCCCATGAACTTATTAAAAATAAGTCCAGGAACTTATTAAAAATATTTAGATAACCATTTTCAATATAATTGACTTCCTTTTTAATCCTATTTTATTTTATGCATTTAAAAACTTAGATTATAGACTTCACCAGACTGCCAAAGGGATTAATGAAAAAAAAATAGGTTAACTTCTGGCTTTATGGTTTCACCCAGCATTATGAGGCACTTTCAAGTCTTTTCACCCTCTTCTTAGTCACCCTTCCCAGAATGTGTTCCAGCTTGTTAATGTCTCCCTCCTTAGACTCCTTAGACCAGACCCCATCTCTTAATACTCTTCCAAACCCCAACCATGCTCTTGGGGATGGGTGTAGAGGAGTGGTGTCTATTCTCTCCCAGCCCAGCTCTAAAACATGCTGTTAACAATACTTCAAATGTTTTTTGACAGGTCAGATTTTTTTTCCTTCATATCCAGCCTAGACCCTGGTTCTACTTCATTAATGCAATCACTGTCACCTCATACTAGAATCCCTCACACACCCCTGCCCCTGACTTTGACCTTTCCTACTAGACTGTTCTGTTAATCTCTAAATTTGGAGGTAATTTGCACTGTCCAGTTACTCTGCGCTTAGGGCCCATACTTTAGGGCAATCTACATGGGGAGGAGTTCTTGTAGAGTAGAGGTATCCAGGCAGCTAGATGGCACAGTGGATAGAGAACTGGCCCTGGAGTCAGGAGGACCTGAGTTCAAATCCAACCTCAGTCACTTGATACTTACTGTGTGACCCTGGGCAAGTCACTTACTGCCATTGCCTAGCCAAAAAAAAAAAAAAAGGAGTAGGGGTATCTTGGAGCAACAGAAATAGGGTGCAGTGGAGACTGGGCCATGGAGGTCCTAGTAATATATGGAGCTTGGGGATTATCTCAAAGAGACACAGGCTGCAGAAGGGTTTGGGGGACAGTGTGTAGACAGGGCAGTGTTTCAGAGCAGTGTTGGAACTTGAAAGATTGTCTTCAGACTACATAAGACTCTCTCAGCAGTGTAGACTGGTCAATGGAGGAAGGAAAAGATGTTTTGGGGCTACTGAACTATAAGAAGAGACCTAGGTTTAAATCTCAGCTTCAGCAAATGTGATGAAGGGCAAATTAATCTCTTTCTGAGCTTTTTTTTTTTTTATCCATAAAATGGGGATGATAATGTTGTCTATTTAACAGGGGTGTTGTGGCAAATCAAGTGAGAATGAAATAAAACTTTGGAAAACTTTAGTAGAGTAAATATCAGCTATAGATAATATTGTTGGGGTATACTCCGGGCAGCATAGACAGCTTCCTGGGGAAGCGGGGTGCTTCTCAAGGCTGCAGGACATGAGAATGGAGTAGTTTTTTCAGAGGAGATGGAGTCCTTGGAGGGAAATGTAACTTGGGGTACTCTGTGTGTATGGGGGGGGCCCATCGCAAGACTGAAGAACAATGCTGGGGACCCCTTGGGCTCCACCTTTATTCATCCTTCTCTATTTACAGTCATAGTAACCTGGTCTTCCCCAGTTTTCTCTGGGGAAGGTTAGCCCCAGGGGAGGGGATCTGGGCAGGAGTCCTGACCACCCAGCTGGGCAGGCATCACATAGCAGCCCTGGGTGCCTCGGTGTTGATGTTGGACACATCCATGCCTTCCTCTTCCTCCTCTTCCAGGAAGGTCTCCAGCTGGATCAGCTGCCTTCGGGTGAGGCCGGTGGCCCGGTGGATCCGCCTCCTTCGATGTCGAAGGACGGAGTCCAAGGCACGGCCCTGCGCTCTCCGGCGGCCCCGTGCCTCTCGGAGCTCCTGATAGCAATTGTGGTTCTCCCTTTCAACAGCTGTGAGTGTGGCCCCACAGCCGAGGGGGCAGTGCTGCTGTTGCCTGTGTCCACAGCTCCGGTCATGTTCTGCTAAGGCTGCCCGCTGCACCCTAGCCATGCAGCCTGCATTAGGGCAGGGGGTAAACTCAAAAGGGCAGGAGTCCAGGTGGATCCTATGCTGAGATAGGGGACAGGTGACACAGCAGCCAGCCTGGGAATTCTTGCACTGTATAGACACAGGGACAGAGAGCACGGGGACACAAAGAAAGACAGAGAAGAGAAAGGTGGAGATGAGGGGGAGGGGAGAGAAATAAAGAAGACAGGGGAGAGGAAAATGGAAGGGGGAAAGAGAGAGGGTGACAAGAAAGAAGAGAGACAAGAGATAAAAGATGGAAAAGATCAGTGAGTAGCTCTGAGGAGCTTAAATTCAAGTTCAGCCACTTCTTACTGATAATATCCTTTCCTGATGCCTGGACCAAACCAATCTGCCTCCAAATGCTGGATGGAAAGGAGTGGTTTTGTATGATCTGTGTCCCCAGCCCTTTCCCAGTGTGGATGATCGAGAAACTGCCATCAATGGTTACATTGCTCCTTCCTTTCCCCAGACCCTTGAAAAGTAAAGAAGTTGCTTCCTGGTTTGTTTGATGGGTAAGGCCATACCTTGACTTGCAGGCGGCCAATGGTTTTTCTGAGTTTGTGCACCTGGACCATCAGTCTCCTCTTCACTTCTTTCCTACAGCAAGGACATGTCTTTTGTCTGGGGGAAGAGATAGAGAGCCAACAGGCCAGCTTACCAGGCATGTTCTTTAGGAAATGATCCACACCCACCTACCCACCACAGAGTATTCTGGACAAATGTTTCCTTGACCTTTTGCAATGTGTTAGCTTATTAGCTAGCAGAATGCATTGAGGAAGCATTCCTTCCCTTGGTCTCAAGTATTTCCTCTCAGTATTGGAAGGAAAGGAAAGATGAGGGTGAAGGACAATGGGTTGGAATTGGCCAGGGGCTAGTCATGGACTGGGACCTTCCTAAAAAGGATTTTTTGTATAATAGCTTTTCTTAAAGTGGAACTTATCTTTAATCCTGTCTTCGCTCCCATTTTTACCTGTATTGAGATAGGTAAAAATGCCTACACTCATTCCCACTGAGCTGTGACTAAGATTGCATGTCCTACCTGGCCAGCCAGGTTAAGATGCATTTCTTGCAAAAGATATGACCACATGGCAGTTTCACTGGTCGCTTGAGGACCCCATGGCAGACAGAACAAAGCAAGGCACAGTCCGGGGGGCTGACAAAGAGGTTGAGATCATATCCACCACTCTGTAAGTTCCCCCCAAGCAATAACAGAATAGAGACATAGGATTAGTGACCAGGAGAAGATGCAATCCTCTCTCCCATCTCTCGTTTTCACCTCCCCAACCTGCCCCAGGGGCATCAGCAGGAGGCTGATAGTATGTCAATACAAGAGTCCTCTCTCTCCTTTTCTGAAAGGAACTCAGCCCTTGAGTGCTCTATAATCTTTGAAGGCATGCTAAGTAAATTCATCAAAAGGCAAGCACTCTGGCCTCTTTACAAGGAGGAAAGTGGGACAAACCAGAGCAAGTGTCCATTTTCTGGCCAATCCCCCCAGGGCCTGTTCTTTAGTCATCCTGCACCATGGGGGTCTGGATAAGCCCAAATCACACGCTCCAGGATTGAGTGCTTAGGTCACGGTCACATTGCCTATTTGGAGTTTCTGGAAGCCTGTACCCTCTGACCAGACCATTCATACACCTCTCCATTCATTCAAACACAGACTAGCAGTGGTCATCAACTGAGCTAGTAAAGGTTCTCTTAACCCCAGATTCAGGCTTCTTAAGGAGTGTTGTTCAGTTGTGTCCAACCTTTTGTGACCCCATTTGGGATTTTCTGGAGTGGTATACCATTTCTTTCTCTAGTTCATTTTACAGATGAGGAAACTGAGGCACACAAGGTTAGGTGACTTGCTCAGGGTCACATAGCTAGTAACTGAGGCTGTATTTGAACTCAGGCCTCCCTAACTCCAAGCCCAGCACTCTAGCCATAGTGCTACCTACCTGCCTAAAGTGCACATCCCAGTTATTCTTAACACTACAGTATTATATTTTTTCCTCTTCTATAGCCTTTTACAGGGAGGGAAGAAAGGGCTGGGAAAGGAAATATATTAACATAATAAAGAGAATAAAACCAGTCCAGAGAGAAAAATAACTTACCAGAGGTCACTTTGCTGCCTGTGAGACAGAACCAGGCCTAGAACCCAGATGTCTTTTTGGGGAAAGGTGAGACAAATTAGGGCAGACAAGAATCTGGGAAGACTTTTTTTTTTGTGAGGCAGTCAGGGTTAAGTGACTTGCACAGGGTCACACAGCTCGTACATTTCAAGTGTCTGAGGTCGCATTTGAACTCAGGTCCTCTGCAGCTGCGCCACCTAGCGGCCCCTGGGGAGCCTTTTTTTTTGCTAGGCAATGGGGTTAAGTGACTTGCCCAGGGTCACACAGCTAGTGAGTGTTATGTGTCTGAGGCTGGATTTGAACTCAGGACCTCCTGACTCTGGGGTCAGTGCTCTATCCACTGCACCACCTAGCTGCCCTAAGGGGAGACTTTTAATGGGCTGAATAGGGCCCATACACACCCCACTACCATTCTATTTAAGTTACTAGTGGCCTCCCCTAGGGAAGGTGCTACTTAGGGTCTCCCGGAGCCAAAGGAACAGGCCCTAGGCAACAATTCTCCCTTCTTTTACCCTTCCTCACTATGGTGTAATGTACACCAAAAAAAATTTGTGACCCCTCCCAGAGAACAGAAGAGGAGGGGAGGCATGAACTCACCATGATTGTGGTCTTAGGCAGCAGCACTACTGAGCTGAGGCAGGCTGAGACCTCATTTCACACACCTCTATTCAGGCTGACATCACAGCCTCATTGTCTACCATCAACCAATCATAGCCTAGTCCTAGGGGCAGTGCCCAGCCAGGAGTAAGGCTGATCAGCACCCAGTCAGGGGTGTTCCTGTCCTTTCTCCCTAAGTACCAGAAGACCACAATGGGGACAGGATCAGGCTGCAGTTATCAGCATCAGTTGCTTCTACACATATATACTTTCACTTGATTTTCATACTCTTGAGGGCAGGGACTGTTTTCACATTTTTACAGATGGAGAAACTGAGCTGAGGTTTCTTCCAAGAAACAATGTAGCCCCTAATTTTATAGATGAAGAAATTGAGACCTTCAAAATTCAGGGTTTTTTCCCATGGCAGACTTATGACCTGTTGGCCTCCAAGTCTAGGAATATGGAAGAGCCAAATTGATTGCTAAATGACCTAAATTCTGCCAGGGGATGATAGCACATGTGTTCTAGTACTGTCTGCTAATTTCCTATGATTTTTGCAGAGTTCTTCCCTCTCTCTGGGCATTGGCAAAAATGAGGTTTGGATGAATGACCTCTGCTGGATATTTCCAGTGTATGGATCCTCCCACCATTAATCTGTTTTAGTATTTAGAACGTTTAGGCCCTCCTACCCCCACTACCAGGCTATAAAGGGATAATTATAATTTGTACTCTCAGTATCAAAAGAAGCCTGGACCCTCCCGGTTTCTAGCCTCAAATTTATCTACAGTTTAGCACATTAGTTGCTATGTCAGCAAATATGCATTAAATACCTACTATATGTGCCCAGACGCTGTTAAATACCAGGGCTACAAAGAACAAGGTAAAAGAGAGCTTAACAGTCTCAGTAATGGATCTCAAGAGTACATGGTGGGAAGGTTAATACTGGAAAGGTAGTTGGAGGCCAGGTTATGGAGAACTTTAAAGCCAAAGGATTGGACCTTGGAGGCAATAAACCATTGGAATTTACTGAATAGGGGCCTAACACAGACTTATACTTAGAAGATGGTCTGGAGTGGGAAGAGACTTTCTGCATGCAGGCCAACCAACAAGGATTGTGCAATAGAGGTGCAGTGTCTTATGTTTCCTCAGAGCCATGAGACTTTTAATACAACTCTTAATCCACTAATGGGGAAATGGAAAATCATAACAAGCACCCAGAGCCAGTAATATGGAAGCTTCTCAAATTGAATATCCCCCCCCAAACAAAAAAACTCCAACAAATCATATTTGGTTAATTCAGCTTTATTAGTCTCCTGGGTTAAAAAAAATTACCAAAATAATATAGCAATCACCTTCCTCCATACAACTCAATCCAAATCCCTAATTTATCCATTCAACAAATAGTTGTACTGTACTAAGAATGTACCCCAAACCCTCCAAAGGGTTTGGTCCCTGCGCACACAGATTTCAAGGAAAACATTTACTGCAAAATGGAAGGGACTTTAGAAAACATATGAGTCATCTGTGGTAGGCTCTTTAATCCACAATTCTATACCTCCCCTCTCCCTTTTTTTCTCCAGTCTCAAAAAAAGCATTTGCAGAAAGCCAGTCCCACTGTACAGGTACCCTGGATTTCTACACTAAATTTCTCTGTACTCATTTGGTTATTTAATCAGCTCTGATGGATACCCTACAAGCATCCCCAACTTAAAATAGTCAAAAAAAATTTCCTCCAAATAGCCCTTACTTTCCCATTACCCTCCAGTTCATATATCCATATCTGACCTTGTTCCACATCCATCCCTTCTCTTGTACTCACACTGCCACTATCCTCATTCAGGAGTCAATTATCTCCCTGCCTTCCTCCAATCTCTCCCTTCTCCAATTCTTCCTTACACAGCTACCAAAATGATATTCCTCAAATACAGGTCTTACCACATCACCTCCCTGAGTTCAAGAAGCTTCAGTAGTTCCCTAATATCCCTAGAACAAAACACAGATTTCTGTGTGGCTCATCAATCGTTCACAATCCACCACTCTAACTTTCCAGGCACATTCACTTCCATATTCTGGCCAAACTGGCTTACCAAAACATTCCATTTGGAAGCCTGTCACTTCCTAGCACTTGTTAGATTCCTGGGGTTCCCCTTAAGGTGAGGTTCTTAAAAGAAGCTTTTCCTGATGATCTCAGAGGTTCGTACTCTTTCTAGCCTTATTATTTCTATTTTTGTTGTTGTTCAGTTGTGTGACTTGCTGGACCCATACTGTCCATGGGATTTTCTTGGCATAGGTACTAGAGTGGTTCTCCATTTTATTCAGTGCATTAAGGGAAGTCTACTAAGGGTCAGAGCTAGCAAATAAGGCTGGATTTAAACTTGGGTCCTCCTCACTCCAAACCAAACACTCTATCCACTGAGCCACATAACTACCTCCTAGGGAAACAAATTAAGTTATTTGCCCAAGGTCACACAGTAAGTGTCTTAGGTTGGATTTGAACTCAGCTCGGGCACTCTATTTACTGTGCCATCTAGCTGTCTCACCAGTTCTATTTACTTTCTGCAGATTATATTGTTCCCCCATTCACTCACAGAGCCTAGAGGGCAGGGACCACTTCCTTTTAGTCTGCCCCCCCCCCAATACAAGGTCTGTCATAAACTAGGTAACTTCATAAATACAGGTCAGTTTGCCCAGACTCTGCCAGACTCATTTTGTGACGGGGGCAGGGGTGGGAGGTTGGATCACTGCTGTCAAGGACAGTCCACGTGGGTCCCCATAGCGAAGCTTTCCGTGCTTGTACCGTGATGTGGAAGAGGCTGTTCCAGGGGCTGGGAAGCCCTAAGACCAGGGAGAGAAGAGCAGAGTCAGTGGAGGTCCTGCCCCTTCTTCCCCACACGCCGGCCCCCGCCTCCAATTACGCCTTAGCATTTGTCGGGGCCTGGGTTTTATCCCCCACACTCAAGTATATGGGAGATAAGCTTAAAGACCCCTGGTAGCTGTGGGCGCCGTAGTCTCACCCGTGGCCACGGGTGCAGACCGCGGGTGATTTTCAGACGACGCCGGTTCAGCCCCCTTCCCGACAGGCTCCGGCGACAAACGCACCGCGGAGCCCCGGACGCGAGGTTGGGGCATGGCCGGAGCCCGAGTACCCGCAGCGAAGACAAGCTGCTTTCAGCTCCCCCTTCCCCACCTTGCTGGGCTATTCCTTACCCGAGAAGAGCCACGTGGGCCCCCGGCTCCGCAATTGCCCTCCCTAGAACAGCAAAGCTTCCCGTAAACGTAAGTCACTCGTACCCTCGGATGCAAAAAAGGAAATGAACCCGCTCCCTCCAAATTTATACCCATGCTGCTAATAAATACTGATTCCGGAGTACCAGAGATCTGCTTCCGGGTCAGAAGCCGTAGGCAGTAGCTCTAGGCCACGCCTTGCTGGAGGGGCCTGATTTAACCAATCACGGAAGCTTTTCCAGTAATCGGAGTAATTCAGGAACCGGAGTTTCTGGGCCCAGAAGATATCGCGAGAACTAGCTTCCTATAAAAGGTCTCGGTGCGTGTTAGACGGCCTTCTACTTCTAGTGAGCACGTGAGTGTGTCTTTATTCGTGAGGTAGTGGGGGGGGGGTGGGAGGAGAAGTGGGGAGTTGAGTTATCAGCGCGTGAACGAGAGGGAATCCGCGGGCATCGACGCCGCGCATCCCCGGGGAGAGGTGCCTTAGCTTGAGCCCGTCTGTCTGTATGGTCCGCGGGTCGGGGCTGGGCCTATTTGGTGCCGCGGGGGCGCCCCGCGGAGGTTCGGGCTGGGCAGCCGTTGGGCCTCGCTTCCCTTGTCCGGGCGCCGCTCGCGGGTGTTTCCATAGCGCTCGGGGGCTGCGGCGCCCGTGGGGGCCGCCAGGCGCCGTTCGATGCTAGTCTGATCCTCCGATTGGGATGGGGGGGAAGGGATCTAAAAGCGCCCGCTTTCAGGTCTGGTGACCAGGCTCTCTCATCTCACAGCAAATGGCGGACGACGCCGGTGCTGCAGGAGGAGCGGGTGGCCCCGGAGGTCCCGGAGTCGGAGGCCGAGGTGGCTTCCGCGGTGGCTTCGGCAGTGGTGGCCGGGGTCGAGGCCGGGGCCGTGGTCGAGGCCGGGGCCGTGGCCGCGGGGCCCGGGGAGGAAAGGCCGAAGACAAGGAGGTGAGTCTGTGCTTTGGTGCCGGGTCTGAACCGTTTGGTTTTTTCCCCTTTTAATTTTTCACCGCCTGCGTCTTAGGTTTGTTTTATTTTTCCAGACTCTATAACACCGCAGTGCTGGGCGTTCCATTTATCCGGGTGGGGAAAGGTAGCTCCGGCCCTTGGGGCAGGGGAGAATTGTCACTGCTTTCCTATAACCTGTGGTTCTCTTGGTGTGTCTAGTGGGTTCCTGTCACTAAGCTGGGCCGGCTAGTCAAGGACATGAAGATCAAGTCTTTGGAAGAGATCTATCTTTTCTCCCTTCCTATCAAGGTACAGGGGAGGTGGGGAGTGGCACGGGCCATGTTCTAACAGCCCTCCAGGGGTCTTTACCAGGAAATCACACCCCCCTCCCCATCCACTTTGCACCGAGAGGAAGGGGGCACCGTACAGGTGTGCTGGCCTGTTTGTCAGGAGATTCAAGTGGCAGTGGCCTGGCCCTGCCATGACTGGCAAGTTGTTTATCCTCACTTTAACCATATAAATGGTAACTCTTATTTTAACCGGAGGGTGGGGGGGTGGATTTGTCCCAGAATCAATAATTATTTAATAAATCTCGGTTTTTTAAAGAACTCATTTCATTTCCTAATCATTGAGTCACTGAATCTGTCTGAGGTCTAATTTCATGACCTGAAAATGAGGGTAGGATTCAGCTCACAAGGATCTCAGAACCACTGTGTGTAAAGCACTTTATTCAATTTAGAACTTGAATTATGTATAAAAGGTAATGCTCTTGAGAATTTTATGTGGCTTGTAGAACCGTAAGGGACCTAATATCCATCTTGTTCTCCCTCTAAAAGTACATAAAAGCAGCTTTTTTAAAACTTAGGAACTCTCAACTAGTAACCTAATCTTATTATCCACAGGAGTCTGAGATCATAGATTTCTTCCTGGGATCTTCATTGAAAGATGAGGTTCTGAAGATCATGCCTGTTCAGAAACAAACCAGAGCTGGACAACGTACCAGGTTCAAGGTAATTTGTCTAGTTGGGTTAATTCAACCTAGGCTTCATTTTCGGGGCCCTCACAATTGGCTGAAAGTTAAGACATTTGTGATTTTGTAATGAAGTTCATAACCCCTATTTCCAAATGATGGTAGGGGGGAGAGGAGAATTTTTAAAAAATGCTAAAAGGTTCTTTGCACCATCCTGGTTTCTCCCTCGCCTGGCAGTCATAGTCAACTAAATACAATTCACCTAGTCACCCAGCTGATGTTTATACATGGTAGGGAGCATTTAGATGCTCTTCTAAAAGCACTTTCTTTGTAGGCTTTTGTGGCCATCGGTGACTACAATGGCCATGTTGGCCTTGGGGTCAAGTGCTCCAAGGAAGTGGCCACAGCTATTCGTGGTGCTATCATTCTGGCCAAGCTGTCCATCGTTCCTGTGAGACGTGGCTACTGGGGGAACAAGATTGGCAAGCCTCACACAGTGCCCTGCAAGGTAAGGAATAGGTGTGTAATAAAGAGCTATATAGTCTGTTGCCATGTGACAGGGAAAGGTGGGTCATCACTGAATTGCTCGTGGTCTTCAGGTCACTGGGCGATGTGGATCGGTTCTGGTGCGCCTGATCCCTGCCCCTAGAGGTACTGGCATCGTCTCAGCTCCTGTGCCTAAGAAGCTCCTGATGATGGCTGGAATTGATGACTGCTACACATCTGCAAGGGGCTGTACTGCCACTCTGGGCAACTTTGGTGAGTGAGCTTTTAAAATATTCATGCTGGCAGGATAGCTTTACCAGTGGTTGGTAGAGGAATTTAGCTTTTTAAAATAACCTTTAGCTGCACTTAGTTACTGACAAACGTGGGGCAGAGTCAGTACCTGTGCACGGGTAGGAGTTAGGATTTGGGGATGAGGGAATTGGATGGCATTGTTAATGTTGACTATAAATTGGGTAAGCCACAAGTGAGACCACTTGACAGTGGTATGACAGAAGTATGAAGGTCAAAGCAGAAAGGAAGGTGGACTGAGGGAGGCTCAATTCACTGAACATGTGAGGCCTTTGGAATATGAATTTTATCTTTATCACATAATTTTATCTAATCACATATAACTTCTTCCTTCAACAGCTAAAGCTACCTTTGATGCCATCTCCAAAACATACAGCTATCTAACCCCAGACCTGTGGAAGGAGACTGTGTTCACTAAGTCTCCCTATCAGGTATGATAGGGTGGGAACTTGGGGGAGGGGTAGAACTAAGATAATTTGGGAAATAATTCCCAATCTCCTTAGCTCTGCTCAGTTGCACTTGGCCAAGTATGGTGTGACTGTCGTACACAGGAGAAAGAACAAGAATTCCCTTTGACAACAGCCTGACCTGCCGTGGTCTCTCTGTTCCATATGGGATTTGACAACTGCCTCTTAAGTTAGAGGTTGTGCTTACGTTTTACCTATTGGTAAGTACAATGAATAAGACTTGTTTTGTAATTGCAGGAATTCACCGACCATCTTGTGAAGACCCACACTCGAGTGTCTGTCCAGAGGACCCAGGCAGCTGCCGTGGCAACCACATAGATGATGTTTTTTATAAACAAATAAATTGAACTATGCCTGCTAGATGCTTTGTAGTGGTTGCTTATTGGTTGGGGAGGAGAGGGAGGCAGGGTTGGACTCCCACCCCAGGCCGGATTTACCGATCTTTTGGGCTTGACAAAATACACAGATAGAACTGCAAAGACTTTTATTGGGATGATTAGAGATGAATTTTTTGGTAAGTCAGGCGGCAGCAGCCTCCTTGGCAGCTTTCCGCTCAGCAAGCATCCGGTGCTTCTGCTTTGCAAGACATTTCCGAGCAGATGAATTGGCTCCAAGTTCATGATCTGTGAAGGCAGAAAAGCTTATTTAGAAGTGCCATACCACTTTGATAAAGCAAAACCCAGGGCTTAGCTTATTTTCACCCACAGACTATATGGACCCCTTCACTCACATCGATCCTGATAAGCTTTTGCAACCTCATAGAACTGTTTGAGCTCTTTCGAACAGTTCTGTTGATAGCTTTCTCCTTCTCTCTGCTGACAGGCCTTCAGTCTTTCCTGGACAATATTAACAATTTCTTGATCAACTTTGCTGAAAGAGAAAGGAAGAATGGGGTGGGGGGGTGGGGGGCTTAATTCTTCTTGGCTCATTATGCAGCCAAGGAACTATAAATACATATATACTTTACTCATCATCTTCCCCCTCCCCCCAACCTACATACCTAGCGCAGGACAGGAAGAAACCTGATAGGTTTTGAGCAAAGGGCCTCATCCATTGCTTTTGTGAGGAGATTCCAGGTCTAATTACCACCCTTCCCATTCAAATTAGAACTCAAACTTCCTTCCCCAGTCAAAGTAGAACTGTTTGTAGGGTGCCCTTAAGTCAAAACCAGCATGCTGTGATTGATCAGGACAATTCAATGAAGGTATAAAGGATGATCTAGGATGCCATAGAAACAATGACTGGCATACATACTAGTCTCTTTTCCACTGCATTTCTGCTTCAAATATGCACAGAATATCCCCTTGCTTGCACTCGGTTATGTCTGGTACTCGGCGGTATTGCCGATGATAGTAATAGGTCTTATTTTTTGCATGTTGCTCCTCGATAAATTCTACAAGAGAAAAAGTCCATTAAATTCTTAATCAAATCAGTATCTACAGAAAGTTCTCATGCAGCACTGGGGTCTAGAAACCCTAGCTCTTATATTGGTAGTATAAAATACTAACTCCTTAGTTGGATGTTTAAGCTGCTAATCTTATTTTACTCATGATCCAAAGCAAACTGGACTACTAATTAACTTCGAAAAGGCCATCTCCCATAATTCTGCATTTCTTACCTGTCAAGCTCATACTATTCTGAAGCTCTCCTTGATTCTTTTTCAGCCTTACAGTATTTTCCCCAATATTCCCTATCCCTATTAAGCAAAATAATGCCTTGTGTTTTATTTACCTACTCCCCCCCCCCATTTTTCTTGCACAGCACAGACGCTGAATGGATTTGCTTCTGGACCACAGCTCAATACTGATTTCTAGTTTTCTGGCCTTTTTTTAAGGTGGGTAGAAGAGGACATGGTTTTTTTTCTCATTCTCCACTGCTATAAACTAATCTAGGATAAGCAGAGGGTACAACACTAACACTGGAGAATGTACCTGGAGAAGACCCCACAACAAAGGGGATTCATGTGAATAACTTTGTCCTTTTATGGATGAAGAAACTAAAGCTGAGTGGCGAAAATACTTATTGCAGGTCACCATATTTTACATCTCAACGGTAGCTAGTACATCAGACGTGGAACACCATTCCAGCTGATTGCCTGCGTTAGTCCTGCAGGTAGTCTTTTTGCCCACTAATCATCTACTCCCCTTCCTCCTCTTCCCCACCCCTAACTTTAACGGATCTGAATATCACAACCAAAAAAACCCACATCGCTTCTTTTACTCTCCAAACCAGAGGAAGGACAGACAAATTTCAATTATCTTAACGAATTAAGATAATTCACACAAACATTCCAAAAGTCCTTCCTATTGCTCTGAAACATTATACTACAGTATATATCTCACTACTCAAAACAAGGATGACACAAAAGGCCTGAACACTAAAAATGAATGTCATTAATTGCACAGATCTAGGGCACTTTCCTCACAGTCAAGTCCCACAAGGCCTTTCTAACAATCTTGGTTACATATCTCCCAGACTACAGTTGATCAGAAACTAAAGATAAAAGGGAGGTGAAGCACTGCTAATGGCAGATGCTGAGAAAAGCCAAGATGTGACAACTGCATGTGGCAGTTGTCTGAAAATGAAAGAAAGCAGGTAGATCACAATAAACAGATTTGCACTCTCAAGAAGTACAGCAGTTTGGTCACATTATAGGATCCAAAAGCACTTGAGATGATGACTGAATTCTATAGCCCCATACACTTGGAACCTGTCAGTGACCTCACCAATCCAAATGGGTTGAAGTTGGAAGTGGAGAGAGAGGAAATCCATACATTGATAAAATCACAGGTGCAGACAGTAACTGATATTTAATAATAATGACCTAATAATCAAAAAAGGTGAAATTATTAAAATATTGAACAAGGCACTATGAAAGATATCTAAGAAAACAGCAAACTGGCATTTTAATAAAAAGACATTTGTATAACTAAAGTTTGCAAAGCACTTCATATAGATTTGAGCCTTATAATGAATAACCTGTAGCTGTTACCACCATTTTGCAGGTGAAAAATTGAGGCTCAGGTTAAGTGATTTGCCAATGACAAGCTGGATGTCAGAAGAAAGATGAGTCCAGCTCTTTCTGACTCTGAGTGCGGCCCTCTATGCACATACTATACTGCTTAGTTTAGAAAAATTTCCATCCCAGGAGTTAAAGATGTTTAAAAAAAGTCTGAACACTCAAAGGGGTGCACTTCCAAAGAACAGCCCATTAATGGGTTGAAGAAATGAACTCTTTTTGTACTGTTTTTGCAGAAGGTTTCCTTTCCTAACATTACACCTACCATTATCAAATATTCAAATCCCAGTGTTAAAGCAGAGGAGTCAAAGTACCTGTAAAAGGAAGCTTAGGGTTTAAAAAAGAAAAAAATCTACTTTTGGAGAAGTTAAGATGCTAGATTTCTGTTATCCTTTTCCTTTCCAGTTAATGGGCCCAGCCCTCACAAAAGGCTACCCATGTCCTGCTAAGTCTGAGACGAGGTGCAGCCCAAATCAAGCTACTCTGGGGACATTTCTTGAATAACTGCCCACCTAGAGGCTTTAAATCGATAAAAATGTGATTTCTAAGTAAGATTTTTATTTCCTTTGTACATAATTTATTTCTAAAAATTTATTGAGATCAGATTTCACTACCCTGCCAGAGTTGGAAATGCAATGGCCACCTCCAATCCCAAAGCAGATAAGTATGGAACCTTTAACCTACACCATTTTTCTGACGCAGACCTATTCATCCCTCCTTAGCAAACCTGGTGGTCAACCCCTTCCAAGAGTCCACCATAGTAATGAAGGACTTAGTTCAGACACCTGCTCAGCTTTATTCCCAACCCACTCCCCCAAAATCCAAGTCTCCCCAAAGTAGCAGGAATTATAGGTATATACCAACATTCCTGGGCTCACTATTCAATTTAATTCAGGGTCTTGGTCTAGCCTTCGTAAGCTCTATGACCAAATAAAGATCATTTCATTGGCTAAGCCTCAGACACCCAGAGACACACTGTGAACAGCAGGCAGAATAAGATGACATATTGCCATAAAATAAAGTGTGTACTTATCTCTTCTCACCTAGACTACACCAATAAATGTTCTTTTTGCCACTAGTCCATTGCCTCTCCAAACCATCATTCACACTGCAGCTTCATCTTCTTAATTCACTGCTCTCATTGTAACACTCTTATTTCAAAAGCCTTCTTCAGTGGCTCTACATTGTCTATGAAATCAAGTATAAGCTCTTAATTCTGGCATCATCTCTTATTATTAATTATCATGTCCATCTGTTACCCACCCTCACTCCACGCCTGGAATTCTTTCCTCCTTCATCTCTTTTGGCCTCCCTGCCTTCCTTCAAGTTCCAGCTAAATTCTCACCTACAAGAAGCCCTTCCTGATCCCCCTCAATGCTAGTGCCTTCCCTCTGTTGATTATCTCCAATTTTTCCTGTACATGGTTTGTTTGCCCATAGTTGTCTGCATGTTGTTATTACGCGAGCCCTCCTCCCCCATTACACTATGAGTTCCTTAAAAACAGAGACTGTTTTTGTATTTTGCCTTTCTTTATACCTCCTGGAAAATATACAGTTCCTGGAAAATAGTAGCCACTTAATGCTTGTTGACTCCACTTGACACTCAATTAAACTGTTAAAACTCCTTAAGAGCAGGGTCTATATTAAATCTATTTTGTATCTCTATTTCACACCAGAAAGCACTTCTTGAAGATTTATAAACAGACTCAAACCCAAGCAACTGTGGGTTTCTTTGTACATGAATAAATGGGAAACTGATTGGTTGGGGCAGCTACCTCCCAGCTGCCACACAATCCCACCTTCTGTTCCTGTGGGGTCCCTGGGTTATGAGACTGCACAGGAAACATGGAGGTACCTCAGATGTCAGAACCACCAAACTCCAGTAAGGATGAAAAAGGCAACCCAAAAAATATCAAATTCTCTGAAGTGACAGTCCAAGCCTTCAGAATTTGGTTACTATGCATTACCATTATGGTCACTATTTATCTCCCTCTGGTCCCCAATGTATATCCTCTGTTCCATGGCTGCTAGAGGCAGCTAGGTGACTCAGTGGATAAAGTGCTGGACCTGGCGTAAGGAGTTCAAATCCAGATTTAGACACTTAATAATTTTGTGACTTTGGGCCATCCACTTCCCCTGGCCAAGTCACTTATCTGCCACCTGCCTCAGTTTCCCTATCTGTAAAATGATTTATTGTGGGGACAAAAATCGAAATCTGGGGCTATATAAATGCTTCTTCTTCCACGGATCTAATGGAAAAGAGCCCTGTCTGGGGAGTCAGGGCTCCCCTCTGACAAGAACCTTGGCCAAGCCAACCCTGGAGGCCTCAGTTTCTTCCTCTGGTTCTTTGGGCTGGATGGTCTTTCCGGCTCCAGACCTGTGACCCTTTCCTCCCCGTGCTCCCCCACTACCTGCCTCATTCTGCCCTTTAGATCGCCTTGTTCCTGGTTTCCGTGACCCTGCACCTCCCGGCCCCCACCTCCAAGGTGCGTACACGCGTGGAAGCGCGTGCGTGAGGAGGGTTCCCCGCCCCCTCCCCGTGTCCTTGGAGAAGGGGCACTGGGGGTGGAGGTGGGGGAGGTGGGGGAGGGGCAGCCTATCGCGGGACGTGGGGTGCAAGGGCGCCCTACCTCGGAAGCGGGTGACGGGCAGGTCTATGACGAAGTTAAAGGCGTCCGTCAGGATGGTGACTGGGTTGGGCAGCGACGTGATTGGGTCTGGCGCCGGTGTGCGGCGCGGAGGCTCCGGGTACGCATCCTTGTCCCAGTCCTTGGGCATCGCGGCTGCAGGCTCGGTTACGAGGCGGGGCGGGGTCCTCCAGGCCTCGGCTCCCAGCTCGCTTGTTTGCTCGCAGGGCGCCCACACAGGTCGAGTTTTTCCTCCACCGGATCCGCACGCGGCCTAGCAGCTGCAGAGCGAAGGACGGTCAGAGGGGACAGGACAAGGGGCGGGGCCGCGAGCCCGCCTGCGCATTGAAGGCCATCCCCTCCCCGACGCGCAGGGCACTTTGGGAATCGTAGTCCGTGCGCTTCGGCGGTGGTTGATGGGTGGGGCCTAGGAAGGCAGTAAGAAGGATGCCCATCAGCAACTACTCTTCAATTTATTGTCAAGTCAACAAGCATTTATTAAACTGCTGTGTGCCAAGCATGGTACTAAGTGCTGAGGATAGAAAGGCACCTCCCCCCTAAAAAATCAAAAACAAAAGCCAAACGAAAAAAACGAACAGTCCCTGCCCTGAAAGAGTTGAACATGCAAATGACTGTGGACAAACAAGGTATAATCCCATCAACAAACTTTTGTTTAAGTGCGTATTATGTACCAAGCACTTTAGTCACCTCTGAGGATGCAAAGAAAAGCAGAAAAAGTCCCTGATTTCAAGGAGCTCCCAGTGTAAGGGGGAACACAACAGCAAATATCTATGTACAGACAAGATATATACAAAATAAATTGGAGATGATCACAGGTGGAAGGCACTGGCATGAATTAAGAGGGTCTGAGAGCTGCCTATGATAAACCTTATAGATCTGGTTTATAGATAAGTGATTAATGGAGTGGGCTTCCCATTAATCAAAGAGGGGGAACTGATAAGATAGTGAAGGCTAGATACAAAATGGAGTTGGTTTGTGTGGGAATCAAGAGAACCAATTAGATTCTATTTTCAAGGACACTGACTCCATCTTGTGCTGCCTCATGTATTCTCTCCTCCATTTTGTTGTTTTTTCTGCAAATCATCCATGGGAAACTAGATAGTATAAGCCAGGAGTGGGGAACCTGCAACCTGGAGGCCACATGTAGTCCTCTAGGTTCTCAAGACCAGCCTTTTAAATGAATCCAAGCTTCACAGAACAAATCCCCTTAATAAAAAGATTTCTTCTGTAAAACTTGGACTCAGTCAAAAGGCCAAACCCAAGGATCCTAGAAGGCCACAGGATCCCCATCCCTGGTATAAGCCATCTATTCTTTCATAAATTCAGGTGGATGCAATTAATCGGTATCTCTCAATTCTGGGAAAAGAATGACCCCAAAACCTACTCACTCTACAGAAACTCAATCTTTCCCTTCCCAACATGGAAAGCCCCTAATCTTTCCTCCAATTAGAAATCAGATTACCTAATTTTGTATCCTGGTTTATATTCTGGTTGTTTTCTTTTAATTAATTGGTGTTATTTGATGAATTGTTTTTAGTACATAGACATTTGTCTCACTCTGTTGTCAGGGTCTTTGGACTGACTGGGGAATCCATTGACCTATTTATTATCCCTGTTATGCTAATAAATTGTACAGCTCAAATTGTTTCCTCAGTTATCATTAATTATCCACCAAATAGCAAACTATTATATAGCTCTTACTACGTGCCAGGTACTATGCTAAGAGTTTTACAATTATTATCTTATTTGGTTGTCACAACAGTCCTAGGAGGTAGGTACTATTATTATCCCTATTTTACAGGTGAGGAAACTGAGGCACACAGAGGTTAGGGACTTGCCTAGGGTCATATAGCTAGTAAATATATGAGCTCACATTCGAATTCAGTGTCTTTCTTAGTCCAGGCCCACCACTCTATCCACTGTACCATCTACAGATTAAGCAATTTGTTCAAAGTAACACAATATATGAATGAGAAGGGGGACTCTGACCCTAGGTCTTCCCAGCCTTTCCAAGTACCACAAACTGCTCCAGAACAAGGGGCATAAAGTAGGTACTCAATTGAGAGGGGGTAGGAGACAGAAAATCTGGGGACATCTTGGGCCAGGGAAGGGGGAAGCTTTCTGTTCTAACTGTTCTTGCTAAATAAGGTGCTGAAGGGACTTTGAGTGCAATCAGCAACCTCTAAATGGGAGAGCAAAGCTTGAATTATTCTTTCCTACTTATGGTTCTGGTTGGTTTCAATTGAATTGGATCAAGGGTAGGGAGAGGATCAGGGAGTCTGATCACCAGGGAGTACCTCACCCCTACAAAAAAACCAACAAAAAAAAACCTGAGGCTAAATCATGGTCCAGGAATGGGCTCATTACATGAAAGATGCAAAGTACCAATCAATCAAACAACAAGAATTTAGTAAGAGTTTACTACATACCAGCTTTGGGGATGCAAAGAAAAGCTAAAACATTCCCTGTCCTCAAGGAGATTACATGAGAGATACCACATACATAAATCAGAATGTCTATTATAAAAACAGAATACATGTTAGGTAAACTTAGAGAAGATAGCACAAAAAGTTGAGTGTGGGGGAGAATGAGGAAAGACCTCTTAGAAGAGGTGGTGCTGTGTCTTAAAGGAAGTTGGAGGTTCTGAAAATTTAAGGTTGGGAGGGAAAGCATCCCAGAGATGGAGACCAGTCAATGCAAGGACACAAAGATGGGAGTACCACATTTGAGGAACCACTTTGGCAGCTAAGTGGAAAATGAATTGGAATGGGAAAGACATGAGGCAGAGAAGGCTGTTACAATAATGCAGTTGAGAAGTGAGTAGAATCTAAAGTAGGGTGGTAGCTGTGTCAGTGGAGAGAAAGGGGCATGCAAAAGTTATAGAAAGAAATTAAAAGATTTGACAAATGACAAGACATGTGGAAAGAAGGAGAATGATAAGCTGAGGAGGCCACCAAGGTTGTGAGCCTGGGAGACCAGAATGATGGTCATGCCCTGGACAATAACAGTGAAGTTCAAAAAAGGAGAGGGTTTCGGAGGAAAGATAAGTTTTGTTTTGGATGTGTTGAGTTGGAGATACCTAGAGGATATCAGGTTTGAGTTCAAAGGTCAGGAATTCCCAATGTCTTCCTTTGAAATTCGTATACACAGGGTCTCTCCCTATTGTACTGGATGAACTTCAGTCAATAATATGGACAGTAGTAGAAAGTTATCCCTTCAAATGACCCTTATAGCCCAGCTGCTATCTGTGGTGCTCAGGGATCCATCGTGGAAAATGCACCAGTGTCCTGAGATCCTCACCGTGCTTATAAATTAATCTTTTGATCTAGGTTTGTTTGTGGGTTTTGGCCAGAAACCCTGAGGGTCTTCCCCTCCCAGATTGATTTTTTTTCCTGCACTAGGTTAAAGAGGCTGTGTGACCCTGGGCAAGTCACTTAACCCCATTGCCTCATCAAAAAGCAAAAAAAAAACCCAGTCCATTCTTTGCCTCATTTTTTTTTTTAGCCTAGCCTTAATCACTGAATGGACATTGTCTCAGTAGATCTGAGATCTGCTAAACCCCTTAGCTTAAAAAGGTCAAAGTCTTCCACCACATCTGGGTCATCTCCAGTCATCTTGATGTGTATCTGGCCACTGGACCCAGATGGCTCCAGAGGAGAAAGTGAGGGGGGTGACTTTGTGCAGCTTAAATCCAATTCACTCACATGTCATGGCATCACCTTTCTGCTGTCGTGGCCCTGTTCGAGAATGAGGGACAAACAACTACAACAACCGGGAAGACAAGGAAACGACCTGGTCATGCTGGAAGCACTTCCTCCTGCCCTGTGACTCCATCACAAGCTCATTTCTCCTCTCAGTATCCTCCCAGTCACCTAATTCTGTCGGTTCAGAGTCACTCTTGACTCTCCTTCCTTTGTCACCCCACCTCCCCCATATCCAATCAATTGCCAAATCTTGTAGTTTCTACCACCACAGCATTTCTTGTCTTCAACTGATGTGAGCATTGGTAGTTTTTTTCTTCCAGATGCCTTCAATGCACAGTAACTACTTCCCCACCTCCCACCCCCAAAAAAAGCCCACACCCAGAGTCTGCAGCTCAGTGCCATGCCATGTGCATGTCTCCACTTTCTCTTTTTGCTGGTCTTCAGAATCAACTTGTGTCACTGTCAGGCCTTGGTATGTGTGTATGAAGGGGTGTCTCCTCCATTAGCAACACCCTGCCTTTAGCTCACCCAAAGCCTCAATATCTCCACTGTGGCTCCAGAATGTTTCCTATAAAACACACTGAATCTCTTTTAAATGTTCCCATCCTAATGTGAGCAGAATGATTTTTGGCACTATCTTCATGTTAATCTCCTGAGACTACTTAGCCCCACATGCATTCAAAAGGGGGAACTGTTCAGAGAAAAAGAAAAACCCAGCTAAGTGAGGTGTTCTATATTCATATATTACAGGACTAGTCACAGATTTTGAGCAATCTATGGTAGGCTCCAAAAGGAAGTCACTGAAAGCAAGGGTGGAAAAGAAGAATGATGCTTACTCTTGGGGGGTTTGCTTTCCTTTGGTGGGATGGGGAAGGAGGGAAGATGCCCTTTGGGGTGCCATGGTAAGCGAGTATTGCTTGCGGATAGTGTAGCAGAAAGGACATTGAATGGACTCAGCACCATCTTGCCAAGTCTTCACTCTGCCATGAGAGCCAAAGGGGAGGAAGAAACACATGCCCAGGCTGGGGTATAAGGAGAAAGGGCCAAGTAGACTGATCATGCTGGCCAGACTATAGAGACCATGGGAGCAGAGATGGGAAATGCCAGAACCCTTGGTTACACTTGGCTGAAGCCTTTAGAGATGTTACCCTGTGGTAGGAGCCATAGCTACACCACACAGGCTAGCCTAGTTTTGCTCTAAAAAGTCAGTGGAATTGTCTTCAAACCTAATTGGTCCAGGAGATTAAAGCTTGAAACATTGCTGTAGCTTCCTGGTCAACTACACATAAAAGCCCAGTAGGAGGGGAATCAGGGTCCTTAAGGCTTGAGGAGGGCTGTGAATAAAAATATACTCCATCTTAGAAAAGGCAGAGGGGAGGAGATCTGAGCCCAACAGAATCAATGCTATATCCTTGCTGAACATCTTTTCTGTGTTTTTATTAAGTAAACTTCTTTTGTTAAATGTTAAATGATCTACAATTGTCTCGTTTTGTTTTAACCCCAAGCCTGAACCACTGGACCAGCCTGGGTCAATTCTGGCCCAGGACTGTGCCAGCCCTCCCACTCCCCACCCGTCTTCCAACCTGAGCTATTTCTACTATCTGATAAAAGGCTCTTACCTCTCTTTTAATCCTCCCCTCCCCCCTTCCAGGTCATTCCATCTTTTAATGCAAGACCTCTCGATCTGAAATCAACTCACAGTTGTAGAAGCCCCTATATGACATAGTGGATAGAGTACTGGGCCTGGGAGTCAGGAATACCTGAGTTCAAATTTGACCTCAGATACTTATTAGCTATGTGACTCTGGTCAAGTCACTTAACCTTTGTTTGCCTCAGTTTCTTCAACTGTATGTAGTGAATGTAGTGTGGTGAAGGCCCGGAGTATGTCAAGAGCTTGTCCTTGTTGTGTGGCTTGAAGGGAAGCAGAATAGACATCTCTAGCATCTTTCCCTACCACCCTTCTCCAAGGGTGATTTTCCTGACAAGAGAAGAAGTAGGATGTTGGGACCAGAGGCCACCATGCTAATCTCTTCAGAGAGAATGGATACTGGGATAGAACTGTATTCCTCTGCTTCCTTAAAAATTGTTCATCTAGAGGATATGATCAGGTTCCACCTAACTTTTGATCACTGTCATTTGGGACAAGGTTACCCCAAGCTCCATTTCCAAGGTTTGACCCCTTTCCCACAGAATACCAGTTCCTCAATGAACACACATAGATAAGAGCAAGGAAACCCATTTATCCAAATTGTAGCAAAACAGAAATCAGAGAAGATATACATAGAGGAATATATATCAGTTAATACAGAATGAAGGAGCTCTCCCATTGGAAGCGAGATAACTTAGCTCATCCAAAGACAGTGTCCCACATTTCACCCAAGGGGGAGCTCCTCAAAATCTCTAGAGTAGCAAGCTGGAAATAGAAACATTGTAGAAATTGCTTGCTCCTCCCCTGTCTTTTCCTTCAGCAACATGAAGTAGGGTTGGTTTCTTCCCTCTCTCTCAAAGCTGGAAGCTGATTCCACAAAAGACTCTCAATTGGAGAATCTCCAAAGAGAGACTCACTGAGAATTGACACCCTCACCTCTCTCTAATTCTGCCCAGCCCCTCAAGCAGGGTAGGGCATTCATCTCTTCCCATAAGGAAAGAATCCCATGCCAATGGGCTTTGGGACAAGGGTTACATGTAAAATGGGGATAATAACAGCTCCTATCCCTTCTGGTTGTTATAAGGATGAAATGAGATACTGGTAAAGGGCTTAGCCTAGTTCCTGGCACCTACTAGGTGAATTGGTTTCTTTGTGGCTCAATATAGCACCTAGTTGGTAGACTAAATAAACGCTTAATAAGCACCTACTATGTGCCAGGCATTGTGCTAAGCCCTGGGGATACAAAAAGAGGCCAAAGACAATTCCTGCCCTCAAGGAGCTTATAATCTGAAGGGGAAAACAATATGAAACCAAATATACACAGAACAAGTTATACACAGGATAAGGAGGAAATAGAACAGAGAAGGCAGAGACTTGAGGCAGGCAGACTTGTGAGCAGTGTGGTTCAATAAGCCAGGAGCCAGGTGATGAGAGCCTACACCAGAGTGTTGGCAGTGTCTTTGTGACCCAATGTAGCACTTGTGTCAGTCATTCCTTCCTTTTGGGTTGGGAAAAAAAGAAAGACCACTGACTTTGCAGTTAGAAGACATGGTTTTGAATCTTGACTCTGCCTCCCACTACCATGGACAAGTCACTTTTAACCTCTCAGGACTTTGTTTCCGCGGATGTAAAATGGGGGATTTGAGCAAGATGATCTCTAAACGCTCTTTCAGCTATAAAGCCTATTAATAGCCTCGGGACGGTGTTGCCAAGGCCTGTCAGGCGGAGTTCCTCTGGAAGAAATCTGCCTGGCAGGGCCTGCAGTGCAGGTGGTGGAACCAAACAGCAGAGGCTAGAGGAAGAAGAGGAATCCCTAGGTCTTCCACTGTACCCCTCAACCCCTATTCCCGAAGTCTCACTCCACAGCCCCTCCAGCCTTGGGCTAAGGCTTGAAGACTGGTGCTCTGGCCTGCTGCCTCTAACCGCCCTCCCCTCCCCACCACACACGCGCTCCCCAGCCCAGGCCATGCCCCGAAGCGGGTGCTGTGCCCCTGGCCTGCCCTTCTGTCCATCATGGGTGACATGAATTCATCGAGAACAGAGCCAGGAGCTAAATCTGTGCCTGTGTCTGATCTGGGGCATTTGAAGCCGTCAGCAGCCAGTCGGGGAGGTGCCCTTCTGCCCAGCAAGACCTTGCAAGGCGACCATGGTCAGTTTGAGCTTAGGCTGGGGGGCATATGGTGGGGGTGGGCAGTGACAAAGCAGGGCCCCTCTAGAGGACCTATAGGACCTTGTGCCCCTGGGCTGCCTCAGGGGATCCTTTGCCTGGTCACCTCAGGTAAAGACTGGAATCCAGGAGGTTAGGACTTTGAGGGTCTTTGTGGGCATTTCACTGACTGCATCAGGGAGGGCAGGGGTATTCTGGGTGGGACTGAAGCCCTAAATAAAAACCCCTAGTGTTTTAAGGCACAGCAGCCAGGCGGGCGTGTGGGAGTGTTGCCAATGCTTATTTAACAAGTCTTTAGGAAGTGCCTATTCTCTGCAATGCCCTCCACTAAAAATGTCCTCAGAAGCTTTGCTACATAGCAAGTAGACCACCCTGGGTTCTCAAAGACTGTACCAGGGGGCATCAACTAGGAGGACGAGTTGTGAAGCTGGAAACACTCTAGTGGATGGACCGGGCAGTTTAAAAAAGCTAATTATCTGGTTGGTTACAAGGTGGTGAAGGTCTCAGCCACCTCACTCTCAAAGGCTATTTATTGTCAGAGGATGGTCTCAGTCTGGGTTGGTGGAGGGAGTTTATATGGAGAACTTTATAGCTCCTGGGAGACTGTAGTATGTTCAAGGCACTATATGAGATAAAGATGAAACAAGACCATTCCTGCCCTCATGAAGCTTACAGCCCAGCAGTCACCCGTAGATGTACATAGGAATATCTATCCAGGGTCTCCATGTCAGGGCTATAACTAGAAATGTTGCCATAGCTGCATATGTATAGTTTATATCAAATTGCTTGTCTTCTCATGGTGAGGGGGAGGGGAGGGGGGAAGGGAGAGAATTTGGAACTCAAATTTTAAAAAAAATGTTAAAAATTTTTGTCTACATGTAATTGAGGGAAAAAATTAAATGTAAAAAAAAAAAGGCTACCATAGGATTGGGGGTGGGGATAGTGGTGGTGGTGATACAGAGAATAGTTCGTTCCATTTGACTGCAATCATGCTGTGACTGGTGTTGATCAGTGTGTCAGAAAGTCTGGCTGGGACCCATTGACTTCGTATGAGAAGGATAGGAACCTTGAAAGGTGGCATCCAGGAGCCTGGCAAGGGAGACAGTTGCACTGCGTTGTGAAGGGCTAGTGGGAATTTGATTGAAGATGCAGTAGTAGCTGGAAGGAAAATGTCCATAGGGAAAAGTCTCTACTCCCCCTCCCTATTTCAGTGTCCTGGGGACACCCCCTTGCAGTTATGGCTTGGCTCCATGTGAAAACCTTCTTCTAGTAAGAATCCCCATCTTCAATGTATTATTTCATTGTGTGTGTATGTATGTACCTATATATACATATATACATATGCATATACGACAGTGTATTTGTACTTGTATCTGTGTCTCTATGTCTGTGTATAAATGTTCGTGCATGTTGGTAGGTATGACTGTGACCATCTCTCTGAGTCATAGGTCTCATTTCTTTATCGTCACTTAGCACAGCAGCTGGTACATAATAAGTGCTTAATAAATACTAGTTGATTGGCTGACTAGTCAGAGGACATATTTATAAGAGGACTGTATGTTGTGGAACCAGAAGAGACAATCTGGTCCAATTCTCTCATTCGACATATGAGAAAACTGAGTCCTAGAAAGATGTCACTTGTCCAAGTTTAACTTCTGACTAAGTTTAGTCTCTTTCTATTATATCTTACTGCCTCTGTGTGTATAGGTATCTGTATATGTGAGTGGATGTGGCTATCTCTATGTCTCTGTGTATATGTTTCTGCCTTTGGGTGCAATTGTGTCTGTGAATAGCGGGGGTGATGGATTCTGTTTTTGAAGACTCCATTTCTTTTTAATCTCTCCTCTCTTTGAAATACAGCTGGAGAAGGACACGAGGAATTATAAAGCTCTGGGAACTCCAAAACACACCTAGTCTAGGCACAACTGGTCCCTGCCCCAGCCCCTAAACTTGAAAATCTCCCTCTCTCTTCTGGCTGAAGAATCCTTGGACCATGCTATCCCCTTCCCCTTTCCTGCCAGAGGATCCAGCTGTGTCTTAGTCACTTAGTTGTGCCTTGTATTCAGAGAGAGAAAGAGACAGAAAGAGAGATAGACAGAGACAGAGAGAGACAAAGAGACAGAGGGAGATACACAGAGAGAGACAGAGACAGAGAGGGACAGGAAATGAGCCTTCCTCTCATTGAGGCCCCACAATGACCCTTTGCCTACTTCATTGACCCTCCAGTCACATAGGAAATTTTCAGCCCCTCGACATGGCCACCTGGGTTTCCTGCCCCAAAAGAGAAGCCGGAGGCACCGGGGGAAGGTGAAGACCTGGCCCCAGGATGACCCCAGTAAACCTGTACATCTCACAGCCTTCCTGGGCTACAAAGCTGGCATGACCCACACCCTGCGAGAAGTTCACCGGCCTGGCCTCAGTGAGTGAATAACAGGTGCTTGGGTAGGAGAACAAGGGATCATTACTTAACTGGGACATAGTTAATCTTTTGTAGTAGAGCTATAATGTGGAATTATGTTCTGTCTGGAAATTATTCTGCCTAGGGGCAGAAACAGCTGGGTGACTGGGGACCACAGAGGTCAGTCTTATTGCAGGTTTAGTAACACTGGGAAGGAAGACTGTATTTGTCCCTCATCCCCTAGAGTACAATTTTCACCCCTATAGGCACTTCAGGGGAGAAGGTAGGCTCAGGGAGAGGGATACTATGGTAATGAAACAACAGGGATGGGGACCAAGGGATGGTGCCCTTCAGTATCAATGACCAGCCAAAGACTGTGAATCAAGACACAAGGATGGAGGCCAATGAAGGGGGAAATGTGCCCCCACACCCAGCCTAGATATTGGCACCCTGGGGCAAACAAAACCCTATTCACTGAAGGCTAGTTATGGCTTTTGCCTTTCAGACTTGGAATCTGAACTAATAACTATTTTTATTGCATTATGATCTATAAATAATGTATTTACTATTTCTGCTTTTTACATTTGTTTGTAATAGTTTCGTGCCCTGATACATGATCAATTTATGTAAAAGTTCCATTCGCTCTAAGAAATACTTGTATTCTTTTGCAGTCCCATTTAGAAGACACCATAAGTCTTTTAGCTCTAGTTTCCCTAGAATTTGTTCAGTTCAATATCAGACGCAGAATCTGAAAGGTGGAATGATCCTTATATTTCCTCTATCTGATGTAACCTCCCACTTGATGTAGAAATCACCTCTATAGCATCCTTGACAAATGGTTATCTAGCTAGCTTCTGTTTGAAAACTTTAGTGATTGGAAGCTAACTACTTGTTGCAGTAGCCCATTCCACTTGTTAGGGATTTCTTTTTCATACTGAGCTGAAACCTGTATCCCTGTAATTTTTAATTACTAGTCTTAGTTCTTTCTTCTAGGGTTAAGCAGAACAAGTCTAACTCAACTTTCCATTGAGTGATAGTCCTATAGATATATGAATAGCTTAAGGATCTTCTAGTGTGGCCAACATTTTATGGGTGATGAATACATTTTGGGGCCAACAATCCCCTCTACCCCCAATGTTATACCTCTCATCTACTCACAGTGACCCTCAGGAGCTGCGATTACAGGCTCACTCAGGTCACCTGACCTTCCCTGGGTCCCTCTCTCCTAGAGGTGTCCAAAAGGGAGGAGGTAGAGGCTGTAACCATTGTGGAGACCCCACCTGTGATCGTGGTAGGAATCGTAGGCTATGTGGCCACCCCTCGGGGCCTTCGGAGCTTCAAGACTATCTTTGCAGAGCATCTTAGTGATGAATGCCGGCGCCGCTTCTACAAGAACTGGTGAGTGGAACCACCAAAGCTAGAGTGACCAGGGACCAATGTGCCCATGTGATAGAGTGACCTTGGTATAGTGCAACCCTGGGGAAGGGGGGCAATGAATGAATTTTGGCTGGAGTGACCAGTGAGATCAGAGTAGATCCTGAAGCTGGAATTCCCTCAAAGACCAGAATAACCATGGGAACTGGAGTGACCATTAGGCAGGGTAGACATAGTCCAGAATGACCACTGAGCCCAACCAGGGGGACTAGCATGACCATGGGAGTTGGAATGACCATCAGGCAGGATGGATATACTCTTGAAGGACCACTGAGTCCCAGTTGACCATGGCAACTAAAGTGACCACTGAACAGGATTCATGGGGTGAACGGGACCCTTCCTACCCTTAGGTACAAGAGCAAGAAGAAGGCATTCACCAAGGCCTGCCAGAAATGGCGAGATGAAGATGGGAAGAAGCAGCTGCAGAAAGACTTTGCATCCATGAAGAAGTATTGCAAGGTCATCCGTGTCATCGTCCACACCCAGGTCAGTCTGGCTGCAGCTCTGGAGGGCTCCTATTCTGGGCAGGTGTTGAGCCCCCATGGGGCCCGTCTCAGCTCAGCACTTGTTTCAAATGTCAGGCTAAAAATAACCGGTGAGTGAGTCCCAGCTCAAGGGAGGAATCTGCCAAGTTGTGCAGTTCTGTGGGTTAAGACGAGGAATAAACTTTGTCTTGGGGTTAGGGTTCTTATGCTCTGCCCCATAGCTAGGCTGTAGATACCTTAGGATAAGTCCTTTCCATAGCTTTTTGCCTTAGTTTCCCTACTTCTAAAACAGATATACAATTCCTTGAAAGGAAAGAGGGAAGTGGAGTTTAGGGGTCAAGTGACAATATTTATAAAGCTGAGGAAAGGAGAGTGGAAATAGAGGCAACACAAGATCATTTCCACTGACTGAGTGGGGGTGGGGAGTGGGGGGTGGGAGGGAGAGAACTGGTTGGGACAATTGGAAAATCTAGGAATCCAGAAGTCATTGTGATTTAGAATATGTATGATACAACTCTTTAAAAATTTATTTTTTATTTTTAACATTCTTTTTCTTTTTAAATTTTGAGTTACAGATTCTTTCCCATCCCTCCCACCCAACCCCCACCCACTGAGAAGGCAAATAATATGATATCAGTTATACACGTGAAATCATGCAAAACATTTCCTTATGAGCCATAGCTCCAAAAAAAGAGGCAAAAAAGCCATAAAGAAAGCAAGAAAATTATACTCCAATTTGTACTCGGTTCATCATTTGTCTCTTTGGAGGTAGATAGCATTTTATCATCATGAGTCTTTTGGAACTGTCTTAGATCGTTGTATTGATCAGAGTAGCCAAGTCTTTCACAGTTGATCATCATTACAACATTGGTGTTGCTGTGTACAATGATCTGGTTCTTCTCACTCCACTTTGCATCAGTTCATATAGGTCTTGCCATGTTTTTACTGTAACTACCCCCCCTTGTCATTTTTTAAAAATTTAAAAAATTTTTTTTTTGGTTAGGCAATTGGGGTTAAGTGACTTGCCCAGGGTCACACAGCTAGTAAGTGTCAAGTGATTGGTCCGAGGCTGGATTTGAACTCAGGTCCTCCTGACTTCAGGGCCAGTACTCTCTCTACTGCACCACCTAGCTGCCCCCCTACCTTGTCATTTCTTGTAGCACAACAGTACTCCTTCAAAACGTGATGTAACTTTGAAAAAAAAATCTGACAGACATAATTTCTGAATTCTGCTGTGCTTAGATTGAGGCTAAAATAAATTTGCCTCCTCTGAGTCTAGCCTGATAGTCATTGAGGGGTCTGATGCCATGACAGAACAAATCAGTTTGGAATCAAACATTGGCTCTGAATGCATGGTACGTCTTGCTTTTCCTATAAAGTTGCCTATAAACTGGATACTACAATCTTAAATCTGCCCTTTCACAGGATCCTTCTGTGAACTGAAGTATCCTTCTCTAAAGCTAATAACCACCCTCTAAAGTATTCTGGGGGCAATTCTAGCTGTTCCTATGGGGAGGGAAAGGGTTGTGCAAAGGGACTCCTGCCTACAATGCCCAAGGTATAAGGTGCCCTTAGACGATAGAGAACTGGAGGTGCCTGTATGATCAGGTTGGCACCACCTGGCATCTATCTGGCACAGATGAAGCTGCTGCCATTCCGGCAGAAGAAGGCTCACATCATGGAGATCCAGTTGAATGGTGGTACCATAGCTGAGAAAGTGGAATGGGCGCGAGCGCGGCTGGAGAAGCAGGTGTCTGTGCACACAGTCTTCAGCCAGAGTGAAGTGATCGATGTGATTGCCGTTACAAAGGGCCGTGGCATGAAAGGTGATGTCCCAACAGTTGGTCTGAGGGAAACTGAGGTTGATGCAGAATGAAAGAAAGGAAAGGCTTCTGAGATGAGGCCAGTCTTATACTAAATCAGTATTTTTTGAGCCTCTCTGCTTTCTTAAGCTAAAGTGGTTAAATAAGGGAAAGGAGATCCTGATCCCTACTTTATGGGGTTAGTGGGGGAAGACAGAGAAGGAGAAGACTCAGACTTTGCACTAAGGGACCTGAGATACGCGACAAAGTTCATACAATAAAAATAGAACAAAGCAGGGAAGGCTGGATTGTATGGCTAAAATGGGACATCAGGGTAAGCTGAAGGGGTTAGGGAAGATGTCTTGGAGGAGAAGGGACCTGAGCTGACCCTTGAGGAACAACTTAGCTCCTTTGAAGTCACTTGACTGGATGGGTGCATATTGCAATATTTCTGCTTCCTCTAACCCTGTCAGTGAAGCAGGCCCACTGGGGGCTCCTAAAAAAGACCCATTCCTTTTCTTTCTCTTTCCAGGGGTCACCAGCCGTTGGCATGCTAAGAAACTCCCACGAAAAACACACAAAGGACTGCGTAAGGTGGCCTGTATTGGGGCCTGGCACCCTGCAAGGGTGGGCTACTCCATTGCTCGAGCTGGCCAGAAAGGTTACCATCACCGGACAGAGCTCAATAAGAAGGTGCCCACAGCTTCTAGTCATTCCCTATCGCTGTCCTTCTCTCCCCTCTATACACTCATTCATTTATTCTATGCATTCATTCATCTATTCACTGAGTCACCCATTCATTCATTCATTCATTCTTTCATTTATTAGTTGATGTACTCACATATTAATTCATTCACTTACTCATTCACTGACACATTTATTTACTCATTCACTTATTCTTTTGTGAGTTTTTAGCTCAGATTGGTACTAAATGGATTTGTAATACCTACTTACTCCATAACCAATCTCAGGAAGAATGAGTCTAAGAGGCAGCTAGATAGAGCAAGGAAAAACTGGACTGGAGGTCCTTATTTAGCAAGGAACACCTTGAAAGTGAACTGATAATTTACCTCTGAGAAGTGATCGTGCATATTTGTGACTTCAGTATTCCTAGCCTCTAAAGAGCAGGTGGTAGGGCAAGGCCCAGTGATTAACTTCTGAGGGGGCCTGACTACCTTACTCTCATGTCCAGATCTACCGAATTGGCCATGGGATCCATGTGAAGGATGGGAAAGTGGTTAAGAACAATGCATCCACCAGCTATGATGTGACAGACAAATCCGTCACACCCCTGGTGAGTGGCAGACTGGGTGAAGGGCCCCCACCCCTCCAAATCCTGAGAACCATGTACTGCTTCATGTAATGCCTGAGAGCTTTTGTCTCTGTCTTGGCATTGACCAATGATCAGAGTGAGTCTTTGGCTCTCTGACCCTTCAGTTGGAGGGTAAAGGTGGGAGGCAGAGGTATTTTGTTCATCTGAAAGGCCTAATTTGTTCAGCCCAACCTTTGTGTCCTGTCCCCCAAGTCTCTGTGGCCTCTGTGTTCCAGGGGGTAGAAGGGAGGGTAGGAAACAGGAAGATGAACAGCTGTGGCCTCCCCTCTCCTCCAACTGGACATACCCCCTTCTTATTTGTGGTTCTGATCCCGGTGCCCAACGTGTCCTAGGGGGGCTTCCCACACTATGGTGAAGTGAATAATGACTTCGTGATGCTGAAGGGTTGCATTGCTGGGACCAAGAAGCGTGTCATCACTCTCCGAAAGGTCAGGAAAGACTCATGAGCTGATTCTGGTTCTGGTCTGTGGTTTTGTATTTGGCTTCTATGCTCACAAGAAGACAGAGGAAGAGGAGGCCAGGACCTGCCCTCCAGTCCCCACACTTGGGAGGCAGAGGAGAAGCAGATCCAGGCCCTAACTTCATAGTTGGTGGTCAGGGTGGGTGGTGGTGAGGTCGGCACAGAGACAGTGGTAACGCAACAGCACAGAAGAGGGTGCAATTGAGAGGCTCAGACTCAGGGCTTTAGGGGCTCAGAACTGGGAGATAATTGAGGACTAGAATGGTCAGAGAAGACTTCTTGGAGGAAGTGGTCCTTGATTGGTAAAGACATTTAGGCAGAGGGAAAGGGAATTCTAAACCCACTACTAAAGATAGGGTCAGAGTTGGGTTGGGGATGAGGATGGGGAACAGGGGAGGGGTGTAGGGACAATTTCTCATATCATAGATCAGAGTTCAGAGTTAGGCCTTGGGGATTGTGACTCTAACCTTCCTTAGGCTCTATTTTGAGCCCATGTGCCTCCTACCCCCATCTCCTTCAGTCCCTCCTGGTGCACCGAAGCAGGCAAGCTCTGGAAAACATTGAGCTAAAATTCATTGACACCACCTCAAAGTTTGGACATGGAAGATTCCAGACAGCTCAAGAGAAGAGAGCCTTCATGGTAAGCTCTGTCTCAATTCTTTACCCTGCTAGTCCTAGATCCCTAACTTCCCATTGGCCTAAAAGCCCTCCCTAGCCCCTAAAACCTTGAATTCTCCTGAATTCTGAATTCTCCTAGTGTTAGCTTCTAACTAAAGGCCAGGGAGATTAGCTATCAGAGGAAGCAAGCAAGCAAGATAAAGAGAGGGTAGGGAACAGTGGGAGAAGAAGTCTGGCTTCTCCCATAAACTCAGACCCTTGTTTGTATGTCCCTGCCTCATACAATGAAGGAGAGGCTGTTAGCCTAGCCCTGGGGGAGGAGGGTAGGCAGAAGAGGGGTTT